GGATGGTTCAAATTGGACATTTCTTTGGACTAATGTTGAATTTATATACATTGAATCATTTGACCCTTTGGGAGGAGGTACAAAAGGGAGTGGACCAATGGTTCCCACCTTGTATCTTTACCAGATTGTATATGGTACCTTTAGGTTGCGCAAAGTTTGGTTAAAATAGGACATTTCATTCGCCTGATATTGGATTTGAAAATATTGAAAATGTTGACCATTTTTTGGGTACCATCTTCGGATTTGATCTAAGCTTTGGTTCAAATCGGAAAGTCCGTCGCATTATATTATACAAGTAATAAAGTGTTAGTCGGTGTTGCTGACACCCCAATGGTTTGCGGAGGATGTTGACCATTTGTGTGGGAGATACCAGAAGGAGTGGGCCAATGGGTCCCATCTTCGGACTTGATAAAGATAACAGGTTCTGAAAAGATTGGTTCAAATCGGACATTCCATTAGCCTGATATTGGATTTATAAATATTGAACAATTTTACCCTCTGTGGGGGGTTGGTTTACCAGAAAGAGTGGACCAATGTGTTCCATCTTCCTACTTGATCTAGGATTGGTGATGATATTAGGTTATACAAAGTTTCGTTGAAATCGGATAGTCCGTTTACATGTTTTTAAAAAAATAATTTTTAGCACAATTCCGACCATTTTGTTGGGGGAGGTACCAAAAGGATTAGACCGATAATACCCATCTTCGAACTTAAACTACGTTTGGAATAAATATTAAGCTGTGCAAAGTTTGGATGAAATCGATTATTCCCTTCGAGAGTTATCGTGCGCTCCAGCCAGACAGACAGATAGGCAGACGGACAACGGACAGACATGTGTAAATCGACTCCAAATTTTCTGAAACGGTAACATAAGGTCTAAAACCAATATTTCGATGAGGTATATTTGCCATTAGCCATATAGCTGAGGGTACAAACTTAATTTTCAGCAAAATTTTGACCATTTTGTATAGGTGATACCAGAAGGAGTGGACAAATATTCCCCATCTTCGGACTTGAACTAAGTTTGGAAGAAATATTACGATGTGAAAAGTTTGGGTGAAATCGATTACTCTCTTCCAGATTTATAAGTATGAACCGACTCCAAATTGTCTGAAACGGATTTGGTCCAATGAATCATAGGGTCTAAAACCAATATTTCTATGAGCCATATGTTTACCGCATCACATTAGCCATAAGGCTGAGAGTAATCTATTTATAAAATGGTATATATAAAATTTATATAAATGGTATATTAAAAACGTTACATTTGTCCCATTGGCACGAACTGGCGGACAGACGAACGAATTGAATGTAGAATAACCTACGTTAAGTTTGGTTTTAATGGGATTAAGATGCAGATTTCTGGGCCACCGGACAACAAATTGTCCTCAGTCATACCCTGAGAATTCATAATGCCATCGTAATTTGCTGTCAGGAGGTTTTTTTAGCCTCTGAGAAAACGAAATACCAAATTTCAGACACAGGCTTTGAAAATTCGGCTACAATGGAGGATGTTTATATGTAGGGCATTATAAAGGCGAACCTGATAATTGTCGTTCCCCCAACTGGTATGTCTGTAACAAAATTCCAATTTTTCCTCAAAAATATCTAATCCATGGCCCTTGATCTAATCGATTCCTAAAAATCCGCATGGTGACTATGGTCATATGTTTGTGTTTTCCTTAAAAAAAAAAACAACATCTCCATGTGTGGGTGTTTGGTATTCCCAACAATATTCACGTTCCTAAATATCGTGCATTTGTAAAATAATGAGCTGCTAGAGCCGCTTTGAGTTTTGCGCTTGAGTAACAACAAAAAATGCAATGAAATACGATTTCAATTCGTTTTGTTTACAAAGTGGAATCACGTGTCTTTGGAAAATTTCAAAAAAAAAAAAAAGAAAAGAAAACAACAATAATTATTAGTGATTGATTGGTTTCGGATCTAATTAAAATATCCAAAGGGAAATGGAGCAGAAATATTCATGTTACATCATTAATTTTAATTTATTATAGCATCATATCTGAATACGATATTCAAATGTGTTGGGAATACTAACAGACTTTGTGTCTATTCGATGGAGATGTTCTCGTTAAGTTATAAATAATATTTTTTGTAAATTAAAAAACAATTAATAAAACAAATAGAGAGAAAGAGAAATGATCTCCCTTTACACCTTTCCCTCTCACTGTCACTGCCTCTCTCTCATCAAATAACCTTTTTGACACTTGGCATAAATTAATAATGAATCAATCATTGATATAATTAAATAAGTGAATCGTGTTAAAAGGTCGTGATTTCATTTGTTTTTTTCTTCTTCTTCTTTTTTGATTAACAATTGATTTCAGCAGCAGCAACAACAACAAGAATAGAGGTTTGAAAGGCCTCTAGACAAATAAAATAGAGATATAAAAAAAATAAAATGAAATTGATGACAAATTAAATAGACACAGACAAAATGTCAGTTGCTTCCAAATACCACAGCGATCACCACATGATCATGATCATCATCGTCAATGATCGTTTTGTTGGTGTCAAACACTGGCCAATAAAAAAGTGTTCATCAAATATGCATGTCCGCTTTGGTGCTGCCTCTTAATAGTTTATTCGTATGTACATCAGTTCGTATGTATGTATGTACGACATAGATGGGTTTAGTTTGAGACACTCACCACCATTTAATCGACATCTTCCGTAGAGAGAGAAAAAAAAAATAAATTTGTAATTTCTATGTGCGAGCAAGTATTTTTATTTGAAAACTTTCTTCGTGATTTGAAGTAGTAAAACATAACAATCAAAGTAAATGCCAACAACAACAACAACCAGGGGTAAGCATTCAACTAAGTTTGATAAAAAAACTTATGGTGGTTTGAAGGTTTGTTTTTGTTCGCTCTACTATGGAATGGAGGGTATATAAAATTTGGTAGGACGTTTGCGACTCAAGAAAGTATTAGAAATATTATATTACTCCAAAGGTAATTGAAGACTGGAGACTTTGTCGCTTCATGTCAGGATATAGCTTATATAAGGGGGTACCACATGAGTCCATGAAAATTCATTATGACGTTTGTAGGTTAATTTTTACATCGTTTTTGAAAAGGACTCCAGAGCCTCTTTAAAAGTTGCGGAGGAGCCTAGCTAAAATTAAAAAAAAATTAAAATTTGAAGACAATGGGATTTTTGATTATGAATACCTGGACGATTTTAAGGAACATTTTCCACCGAACTTACCAGTAAGTGGGAGATTTAGATTCGAAGTGAGAAGAAAATCACTTAGCCCAAAATATTGTCAACAAAGTCATCCACCCATTAAAATGTTATAGATCTATACATAGCGAGCAACAAAAGATATTAATCTTCGGAATTTCAATTGCTAAAAAATGATCCTACTGAAAATTATTTACACTGTTTTATTGCAGGGCTATTTTATTAATATAGGATGGTCCTTATAATCGACCAGCCCGAACTTTTTATAACCTGCACCAAAATACAATAAATTGGTAAATTGCTGCCACAAGAAAAAGTACTACCAAACTACAGTTACTTAGGATGGAAAATTGAGCTAGGAGCTTCATCATACCAAAAAATGACGTGTGATCTTTGAATGAGGATACACACCCTGATATCTGAATGTCAAATTAAAGCTTCATCGTAAAGCTAAAAAATAGACTTCGGTTGTAAAATATACAAAAGACTATAAAAATACCATAAAGAATCTTGTACTTCATATAGGGGCTATAAGATCGGCCGATATATATATTTTTTGGTAAGAATGCCGAATCAGACCTTTATATGGTTAGGAAGATGAGAACACCAAATATTACACGAAGCCAACTTGATTGAAAAACATTTCTGATATTATTTTTGGGGGCTATAATAAGACTGGTATGTTTAATTGTTTGTATTTTTAAGGTCCCGCCTTATGTCTTAAAAAAATCCACGCCGTAACGGTCCTTAAAAAATCTTCCAACGAAAAATTATTAATATAATAATAATTGGTATACTATTAACAGGGAGATTTGCTACCGAATGACAACCAAAAATATCAAAATTGAACCCAATATGAAACGATACGACTACTTAGGTCCATTTTTTGAAATATAAATCTTATGATTTCGCTCAATTTGTACCATTTTTTATTTTATTTTATCTACCCAATAAAGGTTAGGCAAATTTTAAACATTTTTCGAACTGTTAGGCACATTTTTCAAAGGTGTCGTCTATAGCCTAGAAAAGACGAAATGGCGAAATTCTTCAAAAATGTTATTGTCCAAATTATAAATTTCCCCTTAATGGGTAGGGTCTTCAAAGTTCTTCTCATACCAAATATAACACCATTTCTTTTAACTTGTCATATGAAACCACAACCCAATAACCAGCAATGTTGGTATAACAAGGCCCAAAAACAGTGTCATACTGTCTGTCAACCAGTCAAAAGCCTGCTCATATTGGCATTGCTGGCAGATAGTGGCAGACAAAACTGACTGACTTAAAACTGACAATGGCACAAACTAAGTAGTTCACCTTAGTGAGTGATTCGACTTCTATTAAGTGTCTACTTCGGCGCTTTTGCTACTCCATCACAATGATCAGCTATGTATGTATGTGCGCGTGTTTTCTTGGGGGTATTCTTTTAGTTGCTTGTATAAAATTAAGCCTTTTGTGTTGTTGACTTCTCAAGTAACAACAGCAACAATTGTTGTTATTTATTTATTTTTTCAATTTTGTTTTGTTGTCAAGACAACGACAAAGTAGTCGTTGAGTGGCGAAAGCGTTACAACGAAAGTGCAACAGCAGTGAAAATGTTTGAATCAACAACAGCCACGACGATGGCGGGAGCAACATCAGCAACTCCAACTGACAACAACAACATCGACCCCGACACCACCACAACAACAACAACAATTAATGTTAATAACAATGGTCTAATGAAAAATGGTGTTAACAAAACTCAACGATTCTGGCACCAACGACATCACCATTGTCCACCTCCCCTGATGTTGTTGGCTCTGTGGTCAGTGATTCTGGCACTTGGCCAATCTATGGTGTATGCGGCTGCAGGTAAGTCAAATAGAAAATCTAAATGAAACAAACATAAAGACGAAGAATAAGAAAGTAGTGTTGATATTTGTTTGTTGTTGCTTTTCTCAGAAAATGTCACTTTGTTGTTAATACTGTTTTGTGGAAGGGGGGACCCTTCATCATAATCATCTTAATCATCATTTGTTTCAACACCATTTAACTTTATTACTACTTGAACACAAATGTGAGACTTCCCGGAAAATTTGTTGAAAATGGTTGAATTTAGTTTTTATTTGCTTCCAAATGTCACCCACATTTGGGGGTCGCGGTCACACGATGCGAACCCTAAATGCCATTAAAAGAGAAATTTTGTCACAAAAATAAATTTGAATTTACATGAACAAATGAATTCTCTAATGAGTTTTGGGGGTTAAATATATTTTAAAAGGGTTAGATCAATCGTGTTAGGCATTCCGATTCCCAAAAAAGTTTTCAATATATGTCCATTTTGGGTTTCTGGAGATTATCTGTCCTAGGGTTGCCAGATCGAAACAAAATTTAACATGTGTTCATAACAGAAGATGTGGACCAATGGGTCCCATATTCGGACTTGGTCTATGCTTCGTAAAGACAATTGATTTTTGTTTTGTTTGAAGCTTGAATTCCATAACGAATAACTTTTTTGGAAAATTCTCACCAAAATTTTTTGTACGCTTGATTCACTCCCTGCAAACTTTCTTTACACAAAATATATTCTGTACTAGTAAGGTATTCTATATAAGAATCAGGTCTTGCATATGTCAGAGATTATTATTTTCTTTTAATTTCTCTCACCATCCATTCATCGCTGTTCACCTCGCTGGCTACCAATAATAAAAGAAATGCACTTGAAGACATTTGTGATCTTAACAAGCATTTCATGGCAGTGATGAATGAGGATAACAGCTCACACTGTGTGCTGTGGAACAAATGCATCCATTCAACAATACGCTTCAAAAAGTCACCAAAATTTGTTGGGTCGTTTTTGCCACCAAGACATTGTCGTTAATTTCCAGAAGAGATGCGAAAGAACCACAAAAGACGAAGTAGAATAAAAAATGAATGCATAATTAAACCGTTATTTTTTTAGCGGCTTTAATTTTACCAAATGTAATGCTGCCCCTTTTTTCGTATTCAAAATGTTCAGTCATTTGTTTGTTTGGCTTTCGGTAGGTCGCTTGGATGGTCGTTCGGTGGTTCATTATAATGAAAACTCCAGCAAATCATTATGGCATAACTTCATTTATGCCATCATAATATGTACCCGGCTTGGAATGTTTGTCAGTGTATAAGTGGTTGTTTGTGTGTGTGTAATTATTATTTCATACATACAACATTTTTTGTTAATGCTTTACAAATTACAATTTAATGAAAACAACAATTAAATCATTCGGCAGAGGTGGTTTTACATAAACATAACAGAAGAACGCACAACAACAACATAAACATAAACGATAAAGCTTTTTGCCCTTTTGCATATTATACCATACCATACGTATTTATGTACATGTGTGTGTGTGCATGGTTGGAGTTGGATTGTGCATTAAACAAATATATTATCTTGATGTGATGTGATGGTTGGTCATAATCATAATTTTGTACCACCATGATGTTATGTGTGCGTGTGCGTTTGCATGAAAATAAAACGGGTGTTTTTACAGCACTCAACACACACACACATGCACACATTTATGTTTAACACATTCATAAACTAAAATCTCAAATGAAAGTTATATTTTTTTATGTGATGTGAAGTTTTGCCAAGTTTTCTAAAAATTTGCCATCCAAAGTGAAAATTTGTTTGTTGGTCACAATAAAATTTCAATGTCAGTGGTTGTGGCCATGTGTGACATTTATCTATAGACCTGACCAACTCTTAACACTGTCACTTTGGTGGATCTTTTTGATAGTTACAAAATTTCTCTCTTGGCACAATAGAGGAGGAGGTCATCAACAGCTAGCCGGCCGTCCAGTCGGCCATCCAGCCAGCCAGCCTATAACAACTTTCAATTTGTCGTCCATTCCAGTGAACAGCAAAAATTCAAATTTAAACCGGAGAAAGATTTCATTTTACGATGTCTGAACCATAAATTATTGTTGTAAAAATGAATTATGCGTACGCCAGTATATATTTGTTTGTTTGTTAGGATGGTCGTTTGGTTGGTCGGTTGCCTTCGTGTAATAAATTTTTATTTCACAGATAAATCTTAAAAAAAAACCAAAATTCCCATATGTCGAATTTTATTATGGATGATTGTTATCAGGATATGTTTTTTATAACCCACACATAATTGTGAGAGGGTAGAGAGTTCGCTTTTGGGTCAACTAATTTTTTATGCTCACATAAAATGACCACCTTTCTCCCAATGAGTTGTCATTATGGGAATTTAAGTTGATTCATAAAATTTGCAAATTTTTTAAAATTCTGTAAAAAATTTGTAAAATCTTTAAAAGCTTCCTCTTGTGCACCTTTGCGCTTTTTTATTTTTGCAAGCATTCTATACGAATAGGTGATCTGTAACACTGGGCAACAAATTCCATTTTTTTTTTTGATAATTATAGGGAAAGAATTTTCCAAAAAAAAAGTTATTCGCGATGGAATTCACAAAGCGTGATAGTGTGATTTCTTTATATTTGGCTGGAAAACCACAAGTGGCTATCGTTAGAGCACTCCAGCATTTAAATGTGAATAAATCTTTTGTGTCTCGTACCACCGCTCGTTACCGTGATACTGGTAGCGTAGCCCGACTTCAAGGAAATGAACGGAAGAAAACAGCAACATCAGCAGAAATGGTTTGAAAAGTAAAGGAGCGACTTGATCGAAACCCGCGTCGTAGTGGCCGAAAAATGGCTCGTGAGCTGAACATATGACAATATTCCATTCGGCAAATATCGAAAAATGAACTCGGGCCATTGAAATTCCAAAAAGCGGAAGAACTTACACCGCAACAGAAAGAAAATAGACTCAAAAGAGCTAAAGAGTTGCTTCGCTTGGCGCAAAGTGGTGAAGTGCCGAATTTGGTTTCTCCGATGAGAAAACATTCGTTGTTCAGCAGTTTGTAAACAAACAAAATTGAAAGTGTTTACTTGCCAAAAAAATACCAAAGTGTCGATCACCTCAAGCAAGCACTTCGTCGGGAATGGACCATTGGCCGTAATTCTTGCCAAAGGTGACCAATTCGAACAAATCTAAACTTATTCTAAAATTTGACGATATTTGCGACATTTGTTGCTTTCATTGAATAAAATTAAAAAAAAAATGTAAAAATTATGGCGTTTGACTTTGTTGCAGTTTTTTTATCTCATCCTGTATTTTCCCATTACCAAGACATTTGAACACATTCCGACTAAGATTCCTCGAAATCCTTGCATTTTAGGTATATGGTGTCCTTGGCAATATTACTAATATATGTTTGAGGAATTTACTCTCGGAAGGGGCTTTTGAACATACCCTTTTCCAGAAATTATTGAAAACTCATAATATATATATATATATATATATTATTCTCTCTGGCTGACCTCGCCAAATGATCATGTAGAAATTCCACGCAATTATATAATATTTATATATAATGTTTTCACACATGTTGTTGTTTTTGCTTGATTTACTTTTGTCTCTCTTTAATTGTGTTGCTGATCGCCAATCACTACGCGATCGCATATTACTCCTATTACTCATAGCCATAGAGCATGGCATGAGGTCACGTGTAGAATACATTTTCAAGATTAGTTTCATTTTCATTCAACAGAATAACAACAAATACAACATAACTATCTACTATTCTCCCCAAACACACACATACACACGGCTATACATTTTTTCATGTACAAACCATTAGAAGTCTTGTGTCACGAATGACGATCAGCGATAAAGTGGAGTACACGTTGAAAGACAGAAATAACAAATACATTATGAAAATCTGATGTGGAACGAACGCAAACGGTCAGTAGTCATCTGGTTGCGGATCAAATTCATTACTTAGTAGCAATTGAGAATGGGTGTAGTTGAGGTATTTCAAAATAAAAAACGGGGGGAGGAAATTTGGGAATGTTGACAATGCTAGAAAGAAAAAGGGAATAAATGTTGAAAAATGTGATGATTTTTAAAAAAACAAATCCGATTTTAGGATTATACCTAACATTATTATTGGGCGCCAAATCTATGAAAATCGAAGATATCTTATATAGGCAAAATATATGGGACCCATATAACGGCATCCCAAGGGAATTTTATGTGAGGGCCGATTGTTTTGTATTAGATCTTCTATAAGAAGACCTGGTAGACAATGCTAGACCCAATGGCTAAGAAGGGCTAATTGGCTTTTATAAGTAGACCTATTGCAATTCTATAAAGATAACAAGTGGAATTCTATAGGAAGACCTAATGACTACCATATGGTTTTCAGATTATAGTTTAACACTTTGGGTTATTATTGGGCGCCAAATCTCTATCGAGATATCTAATAGGTATATGGGACCCATATAACGGTATCCCAAGGGAATTTTATGTGGGGGCCGATTGTTTTGTATTAGATCTTCTATAAGAAGACCTGATAGACAATTTTAGAAAATTTGTCCACCAGCAGAACTCTGATAATAAAGTAATGCCTCATAAACAACACTAATAATCAAATACCAACATCAATTGAGAAAAAAGTGAAAGTCACAGACAAAATTACCCAGATTACAAGAATAGACTAACTATTCCCTATTTGGAAATCACAGCGACCTTAAATTGGAATAGGAAAACGATCGAACGAACGAACGAAATTATGAATGAATTGCAACGTGCTGCCTTTGTGCTGTGTGATATTGACCATTTTTGTTAGCAAACTTTTACTGAATTCTGAATTTGTTTCAGTGATTATGGGCCACCACCACCATGGCCATAATCGCATGATAACCATGAGCTCTGACGCTGAACATGGTCGTTGGGTCCGCATACACTTGATGTTGATGTTTGTTCATGTTCAAAGCAAATTTTCTTTTCTTTTTCTTCATTTTTGTTTTGTTACTGATTTTTCCAAATCGACTTTCTTCGATTCGAAATGCTTGAAGATCTTCATAACTGGCATTATTGTTGGTGTTGCCGCCAACACCACCGCCGCTATCGTCATGGTGTGATGTGATTTTCTCCACACCATTACTTTTCCATAATAAAATTCAATTAGTATGCATTCATGTTGCTGTTCAGCGGAGTGGGACTTCAGAGAGCTCACGCCGAATGCTGGGTGAATGGATGGATGTTACTTAGACTGGCGGCTAGCTAGCCGACTTATATCCACACATACCCCAATATCATGTCATTTCTTTGGAATCTGACAAAAAGCGTCTTTGCAAATCCTTAGATTATAATTAAATGCAATTGTGTGTGTATGGGTGTGTGTGAGCGTGCGCGTTTTTCTGTTTTAGTATCATTGATCATGTTGCCTTCACACTTGTAGGATTATGACAGTTATTTTCTTTTAATTGAATTGGAATTTCCGGCACACTGCACATTCGACTGACTACTGGCAGATGATTGCCATAAATTCCCATAATAAATCATATGCGGTTTTTTCTCCAAATAAGTATGTTTAAAGAGAAACTGATATGTATGTACATGTACGTGTATGTAGATAAATGAATGCTCATAGAGGAATATGACATACATCTTTTGTAAATGAACTTTTTTTTAAAGGAGAAAAGTAATTCATTTATAAAAATGACTACGAAATCGCAAAAAAATCTTTACACATAGTTCACATGTGATCTTATTAATAAAAAATGTGTTGGTCTTCATTTGGAAGATCTAATGGTAGTCTGCAACAAGTTCTGATCATCCATAAGAATTCCCAATTCTCTACTTATAAATACCAAAAATCTTCTATAAAAAACCTAGAATCAGAAGAAAATCGGATTCATTGTTATAGGTTTTGGCATCGGTACCACAAAGTTCATCACTTCTCTTGGAGGAGAAAATGGAGCCAAATAAATTATTAAAGTCCTTACAGTTGTTAGCATCGTATCAAGCGGTTTTACACTTGTCCATGATCATCGTTTGTATCGATTTACGTTGGAATCTTTAAGTGAAAATATCCATTTCACAATTTGTAATTTGTATACCCTTCACCACACTGTGTCTTTGTGCATATGTTTGTAACAGGCATAAGGAAACGAGATATATTAATCAATTTCTGAGTCGATTTATGCATTTTCGTCCGTTTTTTGATGTTAAATTGTAAACAAAGTACAGGTCGTATTTATGATCCGATTTAGATGAAATTTGGCACAAGTCACTTATTTGGCCCAAGGACGGACCCTATTGAAATTGGAGAAAATCTGTTCAGATTTAGATATATCTCCCATATATACATTCGCCCGATTTTATATAAACGGTGCACCAAACACCCAATATTTTTCCGATTCAGACAAAATTTTGCACCGCGTACTGAATTCAGTCCAGATTGACATCTGTAATGTTTTGTTGAAATCGTCTATTTTCCCTACCAAAAGTTTTTTTCCGATTTTATGTAAATGGTGCACCGAATTTCCAAGGTTTGCCCGATTAAGAGATAATTTTGCACAGCTTACTGAATTAAGTCCAGTTTGATGTCTGTAATGTTTTGTTGAAATCGGTTCAGATTTAGATATAGCTCCCATATACATTTTTGTCTGATTTTATGTAACCTTCAAGGTTTGTTCGATGGAGACAAAATGTTCCACTTCGTTCTGAATTTAGTCCAGATTGACGTCTGTGAAGTTTTGTTGAAATCGGTTGACATTCAATCTTACATCGATTTCAGAAAGATATGTGTATGGTTTTTTATTGGTTCAAATATCTATGTAGATCACAAATTTTATCCCCGATTCCATGTCAATGGTCTTCCAAAGATGCTATGTCTCTTCTATCAACAGGATATTGTACACATTATCATCTCTTGTATGTACCCAAAGCGGTGAAGGGTATCATGTAGTCTGCTCCATCCGAATTTTGACTAAAATAAGGAATAAGGGGCGGGATTTTTATAAGAAGGTTTAATAGTATTTAATATGAATATCTAATAGTCTCATATAAGAATGGTCTTTTTTAACATGGCCTAATTGTATTCGAAAAGAAACCTAGTGGGTTTCTACTTAAATACCTAGTGGTCTTCTATGTAAATACATATTGGACTTCTATAAGAAGACCTACGGAACCTCTCTAAATATAAGATCTTCTGAAAGTATTTTACTTTATAAGGTCATATAAGTATAGGCTTGGATTGCAATGGGCTCTATAAAATCATATAATGCTCCTCTTGACAAAGACCAACATGACTTCTATACGAATACCTAATTGTCGTCTATAAAAGGCCTAATGAACTTCTATAAGATCACCCAATTCTATTCTACAAGAAATGATTTTATATACTGAAACCCAAGGGCTTTTTGTAAACCTAATTGTCTTCTATAAGAACATATAATGTCCTTTTATAAGATATAAGGGTCGCCTTTAAGAAAACTTGAGCATTTATTTTACATTCGCATATATTTTATGAAATAATAAGTTTAGAAAATCTAAAAATAATCTTCTTTATTGAAATCTATAGACTTGAATGTATTCCATACATTACTCTTTAAAAAAACATCTCCACTTAATTTTTATTGCTTCATACATATGTATATTTATCTTTCTAATGAACCATTAAATTAAAAACATAACAAATTGACAATTAGAGCTACTGTGAAATGTTTCGTTAAATGTGACCACAACATTAACACTAGAAAGACGGGAATTTTGTATATACCTATATTGCCTAAAATCGGTCAAAATGACTTCATTCTGAAAAATTTTTTATTGTGTAAAGAAAATTTTTTAAACTATTTTTTTAATATTTGTTACATTATTTACAATCATACAAAACGTTGTTATTATTTGTTTTCGGTGGTAGGGCTCTCGGGTTTCCCCTTTTGAAAAATAAGAGCGCGGACAAAACGTTCGAAAAAGAGGAAGACTTTACTCGAAGAGTGAAATCGACTGGAAATATAAAATTAATTTTTCCCGATTTGTGTGTTCGTATGTGTTTCTAGAGTAGCAAACGGGTTTCGATGTTCGATCTGGTCATATAAGAAATTTACTTTATACAGTAATAAAAGTAGTTTGATTATTTAATATTTCAAAAAGGTCAAAATGACCGCTTTTAGGCTATTTAGGTATAGCACATGTGAATACGGGGAATGAAAGAGGGGAGGAAGCAGCTACTATGATTAATAAACGTAGTTCTATGTGGTAGAAAAAGTCACCAAATTTTAAAAAGCTGAGTCATAATATACACACTTGTTTTTGTACTTGAAATTTAAAAACCGTCAAAATGACTGCTCTCGGCAATCTAGTGTTAAACATTTTTACATTCATGACCACACAAAACCAAAAGAATGTCATTTCAACACATTGAGAATAGTTAGAAATCTACAACAACAACACCTCCTCCTCCTCACCATTCTACCGAATCTCTACATATCAAATGAAATTTATTTGAAAATTGTAAATATGTATGTCTTGTGTGTGTGACACTTTCTTATGAATCCGTCTCTCACTCAGTCTCAACATTCACCGGCAATGAAATACCGGCTTTGTCTTCTTTATCGGCAATAAACTGCAAATGAATGGCATACCATGCCGGGCTAGATGGATAGATAGATGGCTGCCTGCTTGCAAATGAAAACCAGATTTTTAACACCTATTCTTGTTCGCGTTGTTGTTGTTAGTATTTTCCAGTCAATAGTCCAGCCAATGGCTTATCTGCACCATAATCCATTGGCTTGGGAGTAGCATAAAACACATAAGCTAGACAACTAACCACCACACAACAAACAAAGATTTCTGTTAATTTAGTATCATTGCTTTGCTATCTTTCTTTTTTGCCTGCCTGCCTGTCTGGAGATTGTGTGTCATCATAAGAGTTAACTATGTGCAATATTCGTATGAGTGTGTCTTAGACTTTGGCCTGCAGCTATATAGACCCGCTTGTTGGATACAGCATATAATGTGTTGTATGTTTGTAGCTGCTTCATAATTAAATGTATTTTAATTTTAATTGTTTTGGTATTTGAACTACTTTGATTTGTTTTTGTTTCCTGTCAGACATTCAAAATTACTTAACACTGACACTGACTGAATAGATAAATATTATTACATAATATTTTATTGCTGTCTTAGATAATAATATTAAATAATAATTTATTCTAATTGTATATATGAAAGTAATCGAAAATATTAATATTTATATCATGGAGATTTATTGTTGTGTATGGAAATCTTAATCATGGTGTTGATGACCTGCAGAAGGTGTATCGAATATAAGATTCCCATGCATTGATTATTATTAGGTTCGTGGTCAAGGTCGTTTCAAATATTCTGCAACAAATTATGTTGGAAAGTTTGTCTAAAAATTCAGATGTAATGAAAAACGTGCAGGTTACTTATATATGGTTATACCTAAAACGTGGACCCACTGGGCACAATTCAACGATAATAACTATTGGCAGGGAACGCAAAATAGACAAAAAACACTGCCTATTGGGGTGGAAATTTTGTCCTTAAAATAAGAAATTGATTGATTAGAATATTAAAATATCGGCTAATAAATTATCGCATTTTACAACGATACTGAGGTTGACTACCTATTTTTCATTTACAATTGCATTTTGTAAAATCTTATTCCACAGAATTTTTAAAAGTTCGCAATATTGACGATTTGATTTTTCGATTTTTTTTCGAAAAGTAAAATTTATGATGTTCTTTGAATTTTTAATTTCACTTCTCATACTAACCTCTCTTACTTTTCCCCGTTCTCTTTACAGTAACCGATTCACCAATTAAATTTATAAAATTGCCAGCTCAAGCTCCAGTAATACGTTATAGTCGAATTGAATTGCAGGCTGAACAACAAACGCAACCACAACATCAACAACAACAACAACAATCCCATGAAACAACTACATTGTCTGCTACTGCTGGTGCACCATTGACAGCAAATGAATCCATTCTCAGCACTTTAGAAAATATTGCCACAACCGATGGTGCAACACCTTCGGAATTGCAAAATGATGATGCATCCGTTTATGGTTTGCCAACTGAAGCCGTTCTTGGTGCATTAATACCACGACAAAATCGTGCAAGTTCTAATAGCTGTCCTCGATCTTGCCCACCCAGTTTGACAGTGGGTGCTGATGCTGTCTGCGGTTCGGATGGTTTAATCTATGCCAATTTGTGTGATATGAAAAAGAAGACATGCTCCAGGAATAGTGTCATAAAGGTAAGTGACAGATTATTTCGTTGTTCCTAGAGGAAAACCTATTCTACATCAATACAATAATTTATTATTTTAGGATGTCCGTGATGGTTGTGAACGTGCCAAGGGTTCAGATTGTAAACATCGTTGCCCCAGTGAGAAGGATCCAGTTTGCGGTACAGATGGTCGTACATATTTAAATAGGTTGGTACACAATGTTCTTCAGAACTTTCAGGGTAGGGATTAACAAAAGGATCAAAACATGAATCGATAGGCTCAAAGCAATATTTATTGCGTCATTTCTGTTGGAAAATGTTTTATTAAAAATATGTTATGGGGATAATTGTTTAGACAACACACAATGTTAAACTGCAACTATATAAAAATTCTTTCAAAACACCTGTATATTATAAGTTCGATTTTTTTCTTATTATCAGTATAAAATCTAATTGTAATTACCTCTTCCATTGTCCCTTCCACAGATGCATGCTACGTGTACAGGCCTGTCGTGTTGGTGTGGCTGCTGTTAAAATGGCTCATGTTGGTCCTTGCAGTAATACGAGTGCCATTCGTGAATCATGCCCCGTCGACTGCAACCAATCGCCAAAGGATGGACCCATTTGTGCTTCTGATGGCAATGTTTACAATTCCACATGTGAAATGAAATTGTTAACCTGTGGCCAGGGAGTGGTGAAGACAAGTCGCAAACATTGTCAATCGACCAGAATGTGCCGTGAATCTTGTTGGCGTGTGGCACGTCCCACATGTGGTTCAGATGGTCGTCTTTATGCCAGTCCCTGTAAAATGCGTTCTTCCAATTGTGGCAAACATATCTTTGAGGTACCGCTGTCGTTTTGTATGCCCCAGGAACGTCATGGTAATCATGTAGAAAATTGCCCAACCGAATGTCCCGAAAGTGATAGTTCGGCGTATGTGTGCGGTAGTGATGGTAATATTTATTCATCGTTGTGTGAATTGAAAATGTTGAATTGTGGGTAAGTTGAGGGCAGTGGAAATCAAAATCCAAAATTGTAATATGCATTTTTGCATTTTTTTCTTTAAAGGCCCCAACGTAAATCGATACAAAAGATGAGCATGGACAAGTGTAAAAACCGTTTGACGCGATGCAAACAACTGCCACCTTGTAAGGACTTTAATAATTTATTTGGCTCCATATTCTCCTCCAAGAGAAGTGATAAACTTTGTGGTACCGATGCCAAGACATATAATAATGAATGTGAATTGGCTCATGCCACATGTCTGTAAGGAACAAATTTTTATTATTACGAAATAATCGTCATTCAATTACCTATTTGTTTTTGTTTTACAGGAGAGGTGTTAATTTGGCTCACGTTGGCCCATGCACAGATTTGAAAACACCCATTAAGGATTGTGGTGAACGCTGTACCCGCCAAGATTTAGAAAGTGGTCCCATTTGTGGTTCCGATGGCAACACCTATGCCTCGTTGTGCGAATTTAAACGTAGAACCTGCCATCTACGCGTTGTGCCAGTCTCTTTGAAAAACTGCCCCCTAACTGCTGACTGTGATACCGATTGTGATGCCCAGCCACCGAATTTCGTCTGTGGTTCCGATAATAAATTCTACAAATCCGAATGTCATATGCGCAAAGAAAATTGTGGCAAACATGTGTTTGTGGTGCCGTTGAAACGCTGCCTCAGCAATGTACAATTTAAGGGTTGTGCCAAAATATGTCCAACCGATTTCGAACCGATTTGTGGCAGTGACAATATGACCTATTCCAATGAGTGTTTCTTGGAGATGGAAAATTGTCGCAGCAACAATACCCTAACGATACAACACTATGGTGCATGTGGACGGCCAGAGGCGCCATCTAATAATTTTTTGTACTAGAATAAATTTTGAGAAATAAAATAATAAATATAGGAAAAAAGAAGCTAAATAAGAAAAGATACACAAAACAAAAAAAAATGATAAAACTTAATGTAGTAGCCAACAAAATAACAACAAAAAATAATCAGCTAATTGGGCTTATTATAAAAATAATATATTTTAAATATATTTATGGAATTATTTATTTATTTTTTAGTTAATAACTGTTATACTTTAAGAACACACACACACTTTTTTATAACTAACTTTATATAAATAAAAAACGAAAAATGATTTGTAAAAAATGTTTTTTTTATCAAATACTGTTGAATGTGTTTTTCTTTCCTTAGGCTGAGTCATCGAATAGTTTATTAAGACAAGCCTTGATTTCGTGCGGTTTGTATTTGACATATTTTTCAGGATTCTTACTAAAATGTACACCAGCATACCTAGAAATTGAAGAATATTTGGTTAAATAATGTAAAGATTTTGGGTTATGAAAAAGTGAAACTTACATATTAAAGAATTCATTATATTTTGGTAAAATATGCTCTTCATTGTCACGTTTAATGCCTTGACGCAGTGTGACATCCGGTATGGAAATTCCACGTTGAATTTTACATGCCTCCTCAAAGTCTTTGTTGAAGGCCTACAATAATAAACACAAATATGCAGGGTGGATTTCACTTTTTTGATAAAAGATCTATGACGGACCATACTGACTTTAAAGACATTTTAATACACAACTACTTACCAAAAATTTCTCCTTCAAAATGCTACGATCCTTATCCTTAACTTTGCCCTGTATTGGTTTTGGTAATTCATCCAATGGCGAAATATTTGACAACATTTTGGACCATGTTTTTTGATAGGAACATTTCAATTCTTTGATAGTTTCGATATAACTATTACGGCAATCGGGTTCCGCAATTGTAACAATATCAATTAGATTTGATGTTATCAATGAATTCAAAATATAGTTAATGTTATTTAAACGGAATAAGTGTTTGGTCGCCTGATCGTTATACTGTTCGCATTTATTCATGATCGATAAATTTAATTCGGCCAAGGCTTTTTCTAAAAAGAGAAAAAATAATAACAAATATAGTTAAATATTAACGAAAGAATAACTTACTTATATATATGGCCAACAAGGCCTTATTGTGCTCTTCTTCTGGTAATTGTTTCTTAATGAGTATTGAATCCAACTGAGTAGAGTAGAGGACATCTGGTTGTAATATGACACCAATAACATCATAATGATTCAAAAGATTCTCAATAAACCATATTGTATTGGATGTCAACTCATGGACTGTGGCATCTTTGGGTACATTAACATAACCCAAGGTACTTGAGCTCATGCTCACAATATTCGTGGTAGAATCGCCGCGTACAACTTCCAAGAAATGTTCCAAGGCTTTGGCTCCCTATTCAGCAGCAAAATTTAAAATCGATTAATAGAAATAAGGAAAAAACTAATTTCTTTAAATACATACCGTGTATTGTAATTTATTCAAAACCTTTGTCAACTGTTCCCTTTGCTGTACATCATAGGTACGATCGATATCCGGTTGCAATAGCAACACATTTTTCAATGTCTTAAATATACCCAATGCCGAAGTCCATTCTTTGCGTGTTATACTACGCATTATACGATTTGTTATGGCCTCAACATCTTTGACAACCATATCAATGGATTTATTTGCCAATTTGGCAAAGACCTCCGATTGGTGTTTGAATGGTATGATTTCTTGCATTAGGGCTCGTTCCCAATTCAATAGACGTTGCAATCCCAACAGCATAACTAAATATTTATCCAATTCCTGATCACCATCAGCATATTCTTCAGAGGATAAATGTTCAGAATGCGATGTGGCTTTTTTAATGGAAATACCAGTACTATTGAGGGTCTGAGTGGCTTTTAGATACAATTTATTTGCCTTGCGTTCAAAACTAAAAAATAGAGTTGGAAATATTTGATATTTATTACTTGTAGAATATATATACTTACATTTGTTGCAAGCGCATTGAGGGACTCTTTTTTGTGTCTTGACGTCCGGCAATAGATTGACGAGATTTCTAAAAGAAAATAATGTGATAATTTGAATAAAATACATCTAATAAAAATTTGTATTATAATTAATAAATATAAATTTATTAAAAAGCATCTTTTAAAAATCGAGGACATTCAAATAACGTACAAGGTAATCCAATCCAACTACTTCAATGTATGCGCACAATTTCGGAAGTCCATACGCCCCAAAGTTAAATTTTAATTTTTTTTAACGGACCTCCAACCCATTTACATTTGTTTTCTTTCCTTTATGCATCCTTAACCGATATTCCTTTCTTATTCGATTATCAACAAATATTTTAACACACGTTCGGTTTAATAAGGTATCAATTATTTCTTCTTTTATTTTTTCTCACTCAATTTGGAAGTAATTTTGCCATTGCATTTCACACCTTTCCATAGCTATAACGGTTTATTCCAATAACATTCTTTCTATCTATACATCGCTGAAGATTTGCTTCACACAACTCGTTTAGTTTGTTAAATGTTTTCAAGTGTTTATGTTGAATCGTAAATGTTTTACAAAACAATTTCAATCCTAAAAAATTAAAATCGAATAACAACAACAGATCATGGAGGATTGTCGTACACCGACTCTAACTGCTCCTAGAGAGTTTATTTTTAATGTGACTCCAACAATGATTAATAATACCACAAAAACGTATTATCAGGATGTACACAACATCATGGCGAATATGCGTACATACACACCCATCCATACGGAAGTGCGTTCACCGGGTATCTCGCCCATATTCAAGTTGGCAAATTCATTGTCTAGTCCCGTTACAACACATCACAGTTCATCGTTTAAGGAATTCAAGAAGCCCTCACTGATGCCCAAACCGGTGGTTACTGCGTACGCACCATCACCGAAATTTGGCGATAGTACAGCCAATCGTTACCTAAGTCCCTGTCCATCGTTTGTGGGTGCATCGAATTTCTCCACAACATCAATGTCGTCACCATCGACATCCTTCAAGAGTTTAAACAATAGCAGTGGAAGTGAGGCGGTGAGCCCTCAAATGTCCAACGATAGTAGTAATGCATCGATTCTCAATCACACTCTAACCATAAATTTGCTATTGAAAACTTTGGGTCTGGAACGCTACTGTGAGAAGTTTGAAAATGCCGGCATTGATTGCAATAATGTGATGAATATCAAAACCACAGATCTGAAGGGAATTGGCATAAAATCGGATGATTGTGAACGTATAATGGAGACGTTTGAACATTTCTATGCAAGTTAAGATAATAAAGCCAAAAACAACAGCAACAGCAATAACAAGAAAGCGAGAAGTGTTCCAAAAAGAAGATGGCGTTTTTTGGAGGCGTATATATGTGTGTGTGTTTTACTTCGTACTAATAATGTGTCCCCTCATCATATTTTTTCCAATGTTGTTTTAATTGTCATTGTTCTTGTTTATTTAAAAATAAAATTTTATTTATTTTAATGTTTTATTAAAAAAAACTGATTTTCAATGTCCAACTTGTTATAAAGTTAAGCTTATAAAAAGGTGCACAATTTATTCCTATTAAAGGTAAATGTATGTGGAGCTTCTACAGCATTTTAACTCACAATTTTCATTTATCGGGATAGTTTTACACAGGATTTTCATCAGAATATTAAGAATAATCTTTGGTAGAAATTATAGGAGTCATATTAATTTTTGTAGCGATCTATTCAAAGTAGTCGAATATATCTCGGAAAATATACTATTCTGATTTTTTTTATTTTTATTATTTTTTAAAATTTCCAAGGCAATGTGGTTATCAATTTTAAGCGTTTGAAGTCCTGATTTTACAAACAATATTTAAATTAAGAAGAGATTCGGTCGAGCCGACGGAGTTGCCATCTGTCCATAAGAGGAAGTCTAAAATCTCCGGCCAAAGGCCGCCTAACCACAATCACTATTTTAATTAAAAACAAATTCGGTCGAGTAGTCGTAGTTACCATTTGTCCATAGGAGAAAGTCATTAATACCTTTCCACAAACAACCATATTGTTTTTCGCAATTTTAAAAGGGTCCAGAGGAATTTTGGAGACCCATATCTCAGAAAGTATGGAGTTATTTGAAAAGAATATTATATTTTTGTAGTGAGGGCTTCAAATGCTTTAAATTGGCACCCATATTGTGTTAGTGAATTTTTAAAAATCATGAGAAAATGTAAGGATCCCAACGGAACTTTGGAGGCCAGGCAAAAAAGTATACTGTTGTAATCAGGACCTCAAGGACTACTTGTGGTAAACATTTCATAAAGATCCGTGGCGTTGCCCTAAACTAGACTTTTTCCAAATTAAAAAATATATGACCTCTTTCCGTTCTTAAAAAGTTGTAAAACTTTTCATATTTATAAAGGAGAAATCGAAAATGATTTTGATCACCTAAAGATCCTTGCACATTCAGGAAACAGCAATAATCAAATCTTTAACTATTTACTTACCAAAGCTTCATTACCCCAACTGCTGCTTTTCTGATGATCTTTCAAGTTTTGCAATGATCTAAAGACCACTTCACCTCTTTCCGCGGCATAGATGACTGTATACTCAAATCGAAGATTCTGTTCTAACCAATGAGAAATTGTAAACAGCTCTTCCCTGGTGCTCTGTGTCAATTGTCTAAATGAGGTATACTCATCATTAGATGAATCATCTTCATTATAAATGAGATCCAAGATATCAACTGGTTTCAGGGGCATTCCATATTTTTTCAAAAGTAAACGATAATGATTATTTAGGCCTTCACAGCCCGTATTGAAGAGACTCGTAACATTTTCCAGCTCAACACTTTGTGAATTGTGATGTAGAAAGTATTCATTGGCCGAACGAAGACGTCCCAATGCCTCGAGAAATACACCGACATTGCCCTCGGTGGGGCCTTGATGTATTAAACCACAAACCTCTTGGGTGACATCGTAGTGAGATAATACAGTTTCCAGACAATTTAAGGTGGCTTCCAAATCTGTGTAAAGCAGAAAATAACAACAACAAAAATTACAAGCATAAAGTAGATCCCACTCAATTTTAACCTACTCTGTTGCCTCTTCTGTAGTTGTTCGGTTTCTTGGTAGACGGGCAGTATGGTCTTTTCCAATTTACCCAAACGTTGCTCAAAAACGGTTAGTATGCCAGACATCTGATTGGACAGGTCATGATATTTCTCCACCCTTTCTCTTAGCAATACCATGTTTGAGGTTTCCTATGGTTACAACAAAAATAAATTGTGATTGTTGATATTTAATGTGGAAACATTCATATGGTTGGTTTGGAATTACCTTTTCCAATTTGGAATGGACTTGAAGACTTGTGTCCAAATTCATTTTTAGAAAAGAATATCCGCCCTATCTTGTTTTTGTTTTGTCGAAGTTTTGATGAATTTACCAACAAATTGGTGTTCAACAGAACTATTCACGATTAAAGAAACAAGGAAGAAGAAAAATAACTGATAAATATCAATAATCAAAATAAAGACAAATAGGGTGAAACAGATTGAAAAAAAAACGACAAAATAAACAGCTGTTTTGCATGAAGCAGATATGCACAAAACAGTACGGTAGCGTCGATGGTTATGATTTTCAATGATGAATTCTCTGCTACGCTCATACACTCACTCTCAATTATGTTTTCTATACAACACTGAACTAATGTTAACAAATTTGTTGTATTCACATACTCGGTTTATAGGTACGCCAGTAAAATGGGGAAATCTCAAAATGGGAGTTTATATGGGTTTTAATAGGCGTATACGCTATGGAACTGTCATTTAAAATTGAGTGAATTTCGTATAAATCTTCTCTAGTGTAGGCGCTCTTTTACACTATTCGTCATGAGTGTTTTTTTCTCTCATTGCTAATCCTACCAGTGGCAATGTTTTCCAACTCCACTTCGAATTTACCAATGAGAGAGAGAGAAAAGATTCTCATGATAAATAGTGTAAAAATGCGTTAGGGCGTTTTACACTACATAAATTTACAACTCTATGTGAATGGAACGCTTTTTTACCAGGGATATCAGAAACCCATGTACATAGTAATCGTCAAACTCAAAATTAAAGGCAAAAATATAACCAAACTATGTAATTTTAGAAAAATTAATAATTTTTATTACATTTTGAAAATGTTGAGAAATAAAAACAATTTTGAGGACTACATAGAGTTAAAAACACGAATACAATCCGGTTGGTATAATTAGAAATCGGTATTCAGTTACTGAGTAACTACCGAACTAATTTGGCATTTCATTTTCGTGCAGAGCTCTCATTCGTGTTTCTGATTTCATAGTGAAAAGAAGTGAATTACAAGTGAATACAAAGAAAGCAAGATATATATTATCTAGTACAACATAAAAATTGAAAAAATCTACAAATTTTTTATTTAAAGAAATCAGCACACAGAAATTTATTAAAATGTAAGTATTTTTTACTAAGATATTAATAATGTTTATATAAAACTATCATATTAAAATTTATATTGGAGACTGAAGAAGAAAAAAATAGTCTGTATACTATAGAAATGAAATACAAAATGGCTGCCTTGAAAAAAATCAATACGACGCATATGTATATATCTATGGATTTTTTTTGCCTATTTAAAATGTATTTGAGTTTAAATTTAAAAAAATGTTCAAAAATGTTTTTAATATTGTTACAATGTTAATTTCACTTTTCATATGAATTATGGTTATATTAGCAATTAAAATATGATTGTATAATGTAATTTTCTACAACCCATATGGTCCTAATTTTGGTGTTGAAATGTATACTAGTTTCGTTGTCGTCGGCAATTTTCCTTCTGCACCCCGAAAATCCAATTTTATATGTGACCTTTTTAATGTATTGTTGTAGTTGTGTAGCTATAGCTACACAATATATTGCGAAGCAATGCTATCGTCGATCGTTAGTGGAAAATTTTCTGTTTCCAAGCCAATGATTTTCGGTATACAGCCATTTTGTAGTCGTAAAGGTGGCAACCGGACATTTGATATAAAAAGTTTTTTTTTTTTTATAGTATTTCCCTCATTTCATCCAAGGGTACAATCTAATTTTTTGTATGTATCCGGTAAAATATTATCTTCGTTATCTGTATATGGACACAAAATAAGGTTTTCGTTCAATGCATACACACGAACTAACATTTTGCATGACTTGCAAATGGTTTCACCATTTCCATATACAAATTACTTGCAAATATACTAACGGAAACATTCGTTTATATATCTATACAGTAAAAAGTAGTCTGTATTATAGGTAAATCTTTGATACACATTTTGCTTGAATGTACAATATATTTCGTATGTATAATAGAACAGCAAAATAAATGCATTTTCTCTTACATTATTATAGCCTAATAGAATATCGTAATTGTTCTTTAATTAAAACTTGGCTGATATTAAAACCAAGAGAATGTGTTTATTCTTTATTTAATTTAATTAGGCGTCGTTTATATAAACCTAAAAAACATGCATGACGTATTTTCTCTCATTTCTCTGTTTCAAGTTGATGAGAGAAAATACAACGGGCATTCCATGCAATGTGAGCCATACTAGTTCATGTCAATCAATGACAAAGTATGTTCAGTGTGTAGAGTGACTCACGTTTATTCTGTATGCATTAAATGTTTAATTGATAAAAAATGGAGTATATCAGAAGGAAGAAATAATATATATATATATATGTTTTCATCATCCCCTATTTCCCACTTTAGTTTTCTTTTAACAAAACTCAAAAAACAGTGCACTGCTATATGGCGTATGTTCAGTGAAAATCAATCAAAATCAATTTAATTAATTTGGTTTAATATATAAAAGGGGACATCATACAAATATAAAAATCTGTGTTTTATGAACTTTGTGTTTATATTTTGCTTATTTATATTCTAAAAGTCTAACCATTCTCTTTTTTTCTCTCTTCTCAGGTTTGAGAATCGTGGTAGTGATAATCGCTCAAATATGTCAATGAACCGTGGTGGCAGCGGCGGCGGTGGTTTCCGTGACCAACAACAACGTTCGGGTGGTCCTGGACCCATGCGCCACGGTGGTCCCGGTGGCGGCATGCAACATAAACGACCAACACCCTACGGTCGTCCCCAACAAAATAATCAATACAACAATGATCGTCGTCCATACGACAATAATAATTCCAATTCTCCTGGTCGTGTTAATGGCGATAATCTACCCAATATTGTTTGGTCCGAATTGAAATTAACACCCATTGAAAAGAATTTCTACAAACCATGCGATGCTGTTGCAGCTCGCCCCCAAGAAGAAGTTGATGGATTTTTATCGCTCAATTCAATTACCCTAAAGGGATCAAGTATTCCCACACCAAGCATGGAATTCGCCGAAGGTGGCTTTCCCGACTATGTCATGGAAAGCATCAAACGTTTGGGTTTCTCTAAGCCCACTGCAATTCAAGCTCAAGGTTGGCCAATCGCTCTTAGTGGGAGAGACATGGTGGGTGTGGCTCAAACCGGCTCGGGTAAAACGTTAGCATACATCTTACCAGCCGTGGTTCATATCAATAATCAACCACGCTTGGAACATGGCGACGGCCCGATCGCTTTGATTCTGGCACCCACTCGTGAACTAGCTCAGCAAATCCAGCAAGTTGCAAACGATTTCGGCTCCCAAACTCAAGTACGCAACACTTGCATCTTTGGTGGCGCTCCTAAACACTATCAATCACGTGACCTGGAGCGGGGAGTTGAAATCGTTATTGCGACTCCTGGAAGATTGATAGATTTTCTTGAACGTGGCGTAACCAATTTGAAACGTTGCACCTATCTGGTGCTTGATGAGGCCGATCGTATGTTGGATATGGGTTTCGAGCCCCAAATCCGCAAGATCATCAAACAAATTCGTCCCGATCGTCAAGTTTTGATGTGGTCTGCAACCTGGCCCAAAGAAGTTCGCAACTTGGCCGAAGAATTTTTGGACAATTACATACAAATCAATATTGGCTCTCTAACCTTGTCGGCCAACCACAACATTTTACAAATTGTCGATGTTTGTGAAGAGAATGAAAAAGATGTTAAGCTATTGAAGCTGTTGGGTGAAATATCATCGGAAAAAGACACAAAGACCATTATCTTTGTGGAGACCAAAAAGCGCGTCGATGAAATCACCCGTTCCATTTCGCGTCAAGGATGGCGGGCATGTGCCATTCACGGCGACAAGTCCCAACAAGAACGTGACTATGTCTTGGCATCGTTCCGTAATGGTCGCAATGCCATTCTGGTTGCCACTGATGTAGCTGCCCGTGGATTAGGTAAGCGAGATGTTTACATTTGAATATTGTCGAAATGTACTTTTTGATGCGTGCACAACAATGTTTGTTTGCCACATCTTGATTATAATGGCAAGGCGAGTGATGCTGTGGATGAAATGATAACTTTAAAGAATTCTTTCATTATTTGAAATTTGGTTCGTCTGTGATTTTGTTGCAGTGATGACTTGATGCGCAGTGGAAAAAGACCGCATGCGTCGATCATGCGTCACAACCCAGTCAACGAGAATTACAAGATGAAGCCAAAGAGAACCCAACACCTACTGTTAAAAAAGTATCAATTAAAACACAAGTTTTTTGTTCTATCTTATCCTTAACTCAACAACAACAACAAAACAGATGAAACAACTGAGAACATTTTTTAGCAGCTTTATGTCTACTAAAATTGATTTTTCCCATATCTATATTTTACATTCTCTCTTATACGTATCAGGTTGGTGGGTGGTATATATACATTCACTTAACCTCTCTCTCTCTCTGTTATTGTTTTTATATGTTGTGTGATTGAAGAATTTTTATTGATTTTTAACACATACATATATATGATGTTAAAAAAAAAAACAAATAGATGAAGATGGTGTGGGGTGTTAAATAATGAGGAGAATATTTTTTCCATACATTGCTGGTTCCAAATACATTGTAATGCATATTAAAAATTTCATGAGTCAGTCAAGGACAAAAAAATATGAAGTCGTCGCTTGAATCTAAAGGAAAACAAAATATATATGAAAACACGAAAGAAATCGGCGTGAAAAAGTAAGGTAAAATCGGTCTATTATTAAATATTTATTCTTTGTGTTTCGAATACAAAGGGTATGATGAGAGTAAATTAAAAAAAAAAACTCGAAAATTACTGGAAAATATCAAATTAAATGCAATATCAACAATTTTATTTAAAAAGAAAACAAAAAAGTCATATTCATATTTTACCCCAAATCCTTTTTTCATTACCTCTCCCTTCTTTTAATCGTCATATATATAATCCAATAGTTTTCGAGTAATAAAAATCATTTCAAATTTAAATTCATGCGATTATTGTAAAGTGCGACTTTGAAACATATATTTTTGACTGGCTACTTGATGAATGAGATATTATATATAGGTTATATATTTATGTATGTATGTCCTAATTTCGATTGGGATATTTCAAAATGTGAACAAAAATAACATCAGTTACTCAAAACAAGAATACAAAACAAACAAAAAAATGGACTTCGATTTTTATGTACCTTTTTTATATAACATAAATTAGTACTATTTGTGGTTATTTATTTATTGCGCTTAGGCTTTAGCATATTTTTATTAAAAAAACAACAACAAAAACAATGCTTTTTAAGTAGTATTGGTGTTTTTGAAGAGCCCAAAATTACACTCCTCCCAATTTATTATAATATAAAATAGAAAACAAAAGCTAAATTCAGTTATATAACCAACCTCCCTTCAAGTTGTTAACATTGAACCCGTATGCCGGCAAATGTGTAATTATAAGTGCCGCGCGTATTCTTTGTTACGATGGATATATTTTGTATAACAATTTTATTACAGTTGAAGGTAAACCACCCCCTCTTAAGGATGTTTGCAGGTAAGTACCACATGATGTATATAAAAACAAGTATCTTTCCTAGTTTTTAATAAATGAATTAAGCTTTTAAAATCGAAGTTATGTTATATATCTATTTTTTTAATTTTTTATTTAAACCAATGGATGTCTACACTCCGTAAATATGAAAAAGGAGAAGGCATGCCATTATCACAAATATAATAGAACGAAAAATTGTATGTGAAAAAGGTCGAGGTCCAATATTTTTATTAAAAATCAAAAAGAAAAAATCACACAAAGAACACCAAATGTCTAAAATTTCTAACAAAGAAAACTGGTATTTTTTGTCGAATTTGCGATTGATGGATAAATTTTTGTTCCAACTATTGAAATTATGTAATACTACATTGTTGTTTGTTTGAGCCTTCATAAATGTTTCTTGGTTTAACATACCCATTGAATTTCTATTTCAATCACAACTACCTACCTACCACCTGCGAATTAACTACTACTACGTACGTATAGATGTCGATGATGTAAAGTTCGTCATCAACTACGATTATCCGTCAAACTCGGAAGACTATGTACATCGTATCGGGCGTACTGGACGTTCGAATAATACGGGAACGGCATACACACTATTCACCACATCAAATGCCAACAAGGCCAATGACCTCGTCCAAGTGCTGAAGGAAGCTAATCAGGTAAGGCTGGAAATCCAAAATTTATTCTTTACGTCGTTTTTCATATGATAGTTTATATAGAGCAGCTCCACAATAATTCTTTATTTTCTGTTTTTTCCCTTTCTCAGGTCATAAATCCACGTCTTATGGATATGGCTGCGGCAACATCACGTCGTGGTGGTCGCGGTGGACACAATTCACATGGCGGTTTCAAACAAAACAATTACCAGCGTTTTGGTGGTCGTCAAAATAACAACAACTATGGTCGTCCCGCAGATCAGCAACAACATCACCATCAACAGAGACCATCCTATTCACAATATCCTCCCCAGGCTCAAATAGCTGGCAGCTATCAGCAACACAGTTCACAGCAACCACAAGCCACCAGAACCAATGGTCAACAGTCTAGATTTTCACAAGCCCCTCCACCACATCATCAACAGATGCAGCAAGCTCCCCCTCGTCATCACCAATCCGCATATGAATCTGCTGCTACCGATAAGAAGTCGCGTTTCGGCCCACCAACTGCCACAGTTGGAGGACACTACGAATCGGCGGCATCATATATGCCTAAAACATTGGCTGCAGGCGGCTATGTCCAACAGGCACCTCCCCCACTACCCACAGCTGCGTATGTCGTTCCCTCATCAGCGTATGCGTACCCCCCGCCCCCACTACCCGTTCAAAATTGAACAACCAATTTCTCATAAACAAAGAGGCTTTTAAAAAACTCATTTTGATTCCAAAAACAAATGTTTTTTTCACATAGTAATTTATGGCAACAAACTACTACTGTAATTATTTAAAACCAAATTGTATCGCGGCGTCTCGTTGTCCTATATCGGTCGTATGCAATATCGATGTCTTCGAATGCCGCGCAGCCGTAGTTAAATTTGAAGTATTACAAATTACAATTTTGTATCTGTGAATTATCTTCGTTTTTTTCTTCCCCTTTCCCGTTCAATCGGTTGTTCTATTTTTCAGTATCTCTCACAACCCGTTTTTTACTTCTCTTTTATGCTTTAACAATAATTACAAAATAATAAGATTTTATTATATATTTAAAATAAATACAAAAATCTTATTTATCTTCTATCCCTTAAGTATATATATTTACTACATATAAGACATTTTAGATAATAGCTTTTAGAAGTTATCAACATCAACACACAAAATATAAGAAATAAAAATAAAAAAATACATATAAACATTTAAAAAATAAAGGTTTACTCTCGTACGTATTGAAACCAATTTCAATGATGTTTTTATTTCGTAATTATTAAAGACAGGGGGATAAAATTACCATTCAGGAACATAAGAAAGAAAATAAAATGGAAACATACTATTTTAATCGTTACTTAGCTGGCTTGATACAGATTTCCAAGCGCGTCGGTCTTGTGCGCATCTCCTACCATTTGAACTACCATGTTCCATGATGTTGCATTCTACTTGGTATTTCCATCTAATTCGTGGCCTTCCCCTTCTGTATGAACCATCAACATGGCCTAGCCACTGTAGTCGCTGCAGCTCAATACGACTGACTGTGTCGATGACTGCTTATAGATTGTAAAGCTCGTGGTTCACTCGACACCGATATTTTAATCGTTAACTTGCCGACTATTTTCGTTAAGTAAAAGAGTTATAAACAACTGAAAATTTGTTGGTAATTTTGACGATTGTCGATAACTGAAAATTTTCAATTGCTTATAACTTCGTTGATTAACGAACTTATTCGGTAAGTTAACGACTAAAATAAAGTAGTTGTTAAGCAATACTGACCGATATGAACGAGTTGACATAAATTTTAGTTTTAATTTGAATTTTGCCGATATATGTCGGAAACATCGAAAAATTACAGAATTACACTGCTGAACGTACTACCAACAATCGATATTTTTTAATTCCCATCCTATACTTTTATACGGTGTATATGAACGCATCGAAATTTGTTGTCGAATAAAAATTCTGTCGAGTCCGAGTGCTGAATTCATTGTACAATATATTTTATAATCGGATCCTAACTTATCATTGGCATGGTACGTTACGTACGTTTCAGTACGTAGCGTGTTGCTGTGTAGACGTCATAACACAATAGTAAGTTCAATTTATATCTAACAGATGGCGCCTTCTGCGCAAAAAGGTTATTAAAAATTTAAAACCATATTGATATGCCTCCAGAGATTTTCCCAGATTTGCTTACAGCGGAATACACAAAAGATGACTTCAGGATAGGTATGTTATGTTGGCTTTTATATTGTAAAAGAAAAAAATGTCGTGTATACACAGATTACCTTATACTGGCCTAAAGGAATACACTCTACAAGTATTCTATAGTCAAAACCCCTTCTACATACTTACGTTCTACTTGTCATCTCTAGACCAAAAAAAAAAAAAAAACACACACACATTTTACTTTTATTCTCTGAACAAAATATCTTCTACAGACCTTCTATAGACATATGTAATATCATTTATAGACCATTCTACATTCCGAAGAAATTCTACAGTTCTTCTATGGATAAATTAACTTCTATGGGTGTTCACACAACAGATACACAATCTTTAATAGGCCCTTCTACAACAAAAGGCCTTCTATAAACCTGTCTGTTTTTGTAAAGAAGACTTTCTATACGCTATCTATGGACAGAAATCTTCCAAACGTTTTGTATAGCCAGGAAACATGACATCTATAGACCGAAACCACAAAATATGGATAGAAGAGCTACTTGTGGGACCTCTCTCGGCCCAGAATAACTTCTACTGGTCTTCCCTTGATAGAGCACACTTGCCAAATCTGAAAAAACATCATCAGCTCGGAAAGTTCTTAGCCTAGTATAAAATGCGCGGTATAAACAGAAAAAAGTTAAGTATTTTGGAAACTTCCATCTCTGTTATGAACACATGTAGAAACAGGTGTTCAAAAAAGACGCATCCGTAATTTTCTTTACAATGAAAGCACGCATTTCTAACTTTTCCATTGTAAAAAATTGCGGATGCGTCTTATGTGTTCAAACTTTAACTTTTTTTGCAGTTTATGCCACCTTATGCTAGGCTAAGAACTTTCCGAATACCTTTTACAGATTTTCCATATTCCAAAGAACAGATTTTCTGCAGGTAAAGGATTACCTTCGACAGGTCTTCTAGATCTTCTGTAGATTTTTTTATAGAAATTCTACCTTTTACAGGACGTATATAGATGTGGGCCTTCATGGATAGAAGAACCGCTTGTGTGGCATTCTATAGAAGAAGAACTTGTGTGATCTTTATGAATAGAAGGACAATTTGTGTGGCTTCTATGGAAAGACCTCATTTAACTCTTCCACAGGTAGAAGTCTCCCATTAAATTTCTTTCACTGACAGGAGCCTCCATCAGCTTTAGATGGAGCCATGGATAGAATATACTTTATGGTAGATACATTTTCTTACTTCTCCCTGTTCGTGTTCACCACTTTCCCCTTGAATCGAAACTCCATATTCAATATGAGTTTGTTATTATCTTCTGTTTGCTTTTCAATTTTATTACTTTCCATTGTTTTGTGTTTTCTTTGTTGTTTGCTTGTTTGTTTTTATAAGAAAAACTATTTTACATCAAATAAGAGTATGTATATATATATATATATATATATAGAACTAATAATAATAAATAAATTATTTCATTAATACAATAATATATTTAATAATAATATAATAATAATAATTAAATAATAATATGCTACACATTATCATTATTTCGGGTTTTCTTTTTGTTTTTTGTTTGGTTTTTGGTATTCTGTTTTACTTGTTTGTTTTTTTTTTATTAATAATAAAAATTATTCAAAATACAATACAATTACGTTTACAAAGTTATAAGTTTGGGTTTTGTTTGTTAGTTGGTTGGTTGTGGGGGGAGGGGCCTTGTTATTTTTATTTTCTAATGCAGTACAGTGTGTACGTTACACGACGACGAAATGCACACAATTAAAACAGTTGTCATAATTCTCATCAGGTTGGTACATTTTTTGTTGCTGTTGTTGTTCTTCTTCTTATTATTATTGTTTTCTTGTTTTGTTGTAATGTTTAATGATGGTTTTTGTTTTTTAATTCGATCGAATTAGAAGTTTAAATTTTCTTTCCTTTTATCCTTTGGTTTTTTTCTTGCTTCTTGGTTAGGTTTTCATTATTGGCTTTTTTTAATGTTTTTTACGATACTCTTAGCATTTTTTCATTTAAAGTTTTTGGTTTTGTTTTTCTCATTACATTGTAAATTATTAAATTTAATTTGTTGTTGTTTTTTTATAAATCCTATATAGTAAATATATGGTGCATCAGGGTACAGAATGACATTTATAAAAAAAATGAATGGAAAAAATGGAACAAAATTGAAATAGATCGAATGAATTCCGTATATACGAAGATAATGAATAGAAGTCCCTATGTATGAAGAGAGTTTGTCAATGGTTTTGGTATTAAAATTTCCCAGATTTTGAAAGTGAATTATTAAAAATAATATTGACTTACAAAACGATGTTATACTATATATAGTATATATTAAAAAATACATACATACATATACATTTGGAAAAAAATTGTGACCCAATGTAATGAGAATGCCTATGAGTTACAAAGGTACAAAAGCGGTTTTCTTATTTTGGAGGCTTTCGTCAGCTCCTCTACAAATAGACAGCCTTCTCCACCTGTTCTTCTATCAGTATAACAGCTGAAGAATGTTGTCTATGTGTAGAGGTCAGTTGTTCTGTACATAGAAGATTTTGGTCAGCTCTCCTACAGTATCAAGATTTTTGTAAGCTTCTGCTGATAAAAGATCTTATTTAGTTCCTCTATAAGTAGAAGATCTTCAGAGAGTTCTATAGAACTTTAAAAAAAATATATATATTCTTGATGTTTGCACCCCCAGCAACCCACACGAATCTCATCACATGGTTCTATGAATATTTTGGGCATGGGTCCTGTATTCTCTATTTTCGTATCTAAATGCTATGATGAATGAATTTCTTCGTCTTCGTCTTTACTTTATAACAGATTTTTATAACTATTTTGGCTTTATAGTTTTTTTTGTTGGTGTGTGAGTGTGTGTGGTTGTATGTGTGTCAGTGATTTTTGTTGTCTCTTATTTTTATGAATCAGTAACGTGAGAATGTTAAAGTACATCTTCCTTCTCCAATGTATTTTGTTTTATTATTATTATTATGCATGTGTTTGTTTTGCATCCACTGGCACCGAACTACCCCCGGGACATATAGGATCGTAAAATTCTTATACACAACACCACACATGGCAGATAACAATTTGTCGACAGGATGTAGTCCATGGAATAACTCTCGTTTTGTTTTGCTATATATAGTTTAGATTCCTAGTGTTTTTTTATTTTATTTTTTGTAATATTTTGGTTTAAATTTGTTTAGTTTTCTTTATCGAATGTGTTTTCTTCTTATGCTTCTTCCTTAGTTTGGCTTTTCTTGTTGTTGTTTTTTTCTCTTTAAATATAACTTTGTTGTTGTGTTTTCGGTTGTTGTTAATTATTTATATATCACGAGAGCTCCTGCGAGAATTGTGTCTCCAGGTTGGGTCTTCGGCTGTTGGGATGATTTCGTGCATTCACGGCTGTTGTCTGATTCCGCAATGGTGGTGGGCCGGGACTACCATAACCGGCCGTATACAATTGTGGACATGAGTCTTTAATGAGTTCCTGTGTTTCGCGTATTTGCCGTTGGACCTGAGGTGCTAAACGTTGCACACTGATGGCAGGTGGGAACCTATATTCAGCATTTGAACTCTGCAAAAGCGAAAAAGAAATTAAAAATAGCTATTCAAAATATTTAAGATAATCGAAATATAGCGCTGTAGGTTGGAGGACTTGTACAGAGCATATAATTCCATTGACAGATCTTCTATATTCTGAAGAACATCTACAGGTCTTCTATGGACATATAAACTTCTATAGATGTTCTATAGATACAGTAACTTCGTCTGGTATTCTAAAAAAACAGAACGCATTATACAAATCTGCTGTAGTTCTATAACAGACTACTATCTTTTACAGGACTTACAGATATTGGCCTTTATTGGTTATTGGCCTTTTTCCAATGGATAGAAGGACCAATGGAGTGCTCATCTATTGATAGACGGACAACAGTTACTAGACAGCCTACAGACCTTCAATGGATAAAATATATTTAATGGTAGAGACTTTTTCTGACGGTATAAATTTATACCACCTATCCAGAATGAGGTCAGAATATCAATTAATCGGCTGAAGAATAATAAAGCAGCAAGTGTCGATGGATTAACAGCCGAACTATTCAAGGCCGGTGGTCAGACGCTGATCAGGAACATTCACCAAGTGATTAGTACAATTTGGCTAGAGGAATGCATGCCCAAGGATTGGAACCTCAGCCACCTGTGTCCCGTGCACAAAAAAGGAGACAAGACGATATGTGCCAACTACAGAGGCATAAGTTTCCTTCCCATCGCATATAAGTTGTTATCCAGCGTACGACTTAAGCCAAGGGTCAATGAAATTATTGGACCATACCAATGCGACTTCAGACCTGGCTAATTCACTGCCCAAAATCAAAAAGATCCACGAAAAATTCATCGACACATTTCACCTATTCGTCGACTAAAAAGCCGCATTCGACAGACTAGTCCGCTCAAAGGTGTTTAAAGCCATGTCTGCATCTGGCATTCCTGCAAAATTAATACTGCTATGAAAGATAACTGTAACTTTAAAGTCGGAAAGGACCATTCAGAGCCCTTCAATACCGAACGAGGATTCAGACAAGGTAACATTTTAAACATCCTGCTGGAAAAGGTAATACGAGATGCAAATGTGAACAGAAATGACAATCTTTACATTAAACAGCACATGTTACTCGCCAATGGCGACAACATCGACATAATGGGTCGAACATTGTGAGCGGTAACAGCTAACTTTGAACGTATTGAGAGGGAATCTGCCAAAGTGAGACTGGCAGTAAATGGCGAGAAGACCAAGTTGATGGTATCAACGCGCAAGACGTCCAGTAGACTGGGGCCAACTGTGGAACCTGAAAACTAGAGCTTCGAGGTAGTGAACGATTTTTTATACCTCGGTAACCAACCACAAATAAAACTAATAACATCAGCTTTGAAATCCGGAGACGAATAGTATTGGCCAACAGAAACAACAATGGTCTGAGTAAGGGCAATTCAAAAACAAGGCCATCTCTCGCCAGACCAAACTTACACGCTGATACAACCTGTGCTGTTGTATGGATCTGAAGCATGGGTACTTGCGCCAGCAGATAAGGCAGCTCTTGGAGTGTTTGAGAGAAAATTTCTCTCGGAAGATTTAGGGACCGATCTGCGTCGACGGTGAATATCGCCGTCGAATGAACCATGAGCTGTACCATCTATTCCCGGACATTTACAGAGTAAGACTTATCGAGAAGCAGTGACTACAATGGCTAGGTCGTGTTATGAGAATGGATGAGGATGCCCTAGCTCAAAAGGCATATAAGAGCGAACCAGTTGATGGTATATGCAGAAGGGGAAGGCCACGAATCCGATGGAAAGATCAAGTGGAAGACAACATCTCGGAACATGATTTTGCATATAGAGGACCTATGAAAGGACAATTATAGTCTTGCCTATGGAATACTTATATAGGGGTTTCGAACTATGTTTTTTTTCTATAAAATATCTCTAGAAGATCTATTTTCAATGGAAAACCCATTGAAAAGGAGATCTTCTTGCCAGGGAGATCTATCAGAGGTTCTCTGTATGCTGAAGAAAACAGAAGTCCTATAGAGATTTACTTGTTATTCAAACACCCATTGGAACTCTTAACCAGGTCTTAGAAGACATTAAGACACACTTCTGCCCACAGAATATATGCAAGGTATCTTCTACAACTATATGAAGATATAAATGGATTTTCGTCTAAGGAACCAATATTTGAGGTTTCTGCTTATGGAAGCTATAATGGAGGCATAAAAATGTCTTGTCTTTTGGACATCTCTATAAGGACTTCTAGCTATGGTATTTGCATGGGTCCTTCAATCTATAGAAGAAATATTGAATGTCTATAAATATTTAGATGAGGTTTTCTGTTCTTTCGTAAATTGTTCTTGTAATTTAGTGTATTTATTTATACCTGAACATTATGAAGTTGTTGTTGCTGTTGCTGCTGCTGTTGTTGTACAACATCACCATAATACGATGCCGCGGAAGATGCCGATGATGACAGTGATGATGATGATGTCTGAATTTGTATTTGGCCATGTGGAGTTTGTTGTTGCTGTTGTTCATATTGTTGTTGGAGCTGTTGTTGCTGGGCTAAAACATCTCCATATTGTTGCAATTGTTGCTGATGTTGTTGTTGTTGTGGCGTGGGCGGCATTGTCACAGTCTGGCCGTAGTAGGCCATTTGCATACTAACAGCCGATTGGGTCGCCGCTCGTCCTCCATTGACATAATTGAGTGGTGTTGTTGTTGCAGCTGCTGTCGTTTGTAAATTTGGCGGGGTAGCGGTCATAAACTGCTGATGCATGGGATTGGTCGGCGGGGGTTGTTGCATTTGTTGTTGTTGCTGCTGCTGTTGTTGTTGTTGCGTCAACGGACTAGAATTAATCAACAGACGACCATCGGCCAAACGTTTGGGACTAACCTGGCCCGGTTTACCCAGAAGTGGCGACGATCCAGCCGGTATGGCCAACATATACTGTTGCGGTGTCGTTTGTGCATTGGGAGGTGGTTGGGTTGCGGCCGCCTGCTGCATCGCCATGGCCAGGGCATTGGACGTATTGACATTGGCCATATTCACTGACGCCGTACTGTCGACGACGGTGGTGGCACTAATGCTCATCGGTATCTGGGGCATCACCGAGATCTGGTGCAGCATGCCCGAATTCATTTGAGGAATGGTTATTTGCTTACTAGGCGTAAGTTTGAGTGTACCCGCACCGGCTATCAGTTGACTGTTCGCAGCTGGTGCACCCGGAGGATGAGGTAGAAACTCTGAGTTAAGAACTTGTGGTGGTATAGCCGTCGTCGTCGTTAGCATGGCACGTGGCGTCGCCTGGATCAATTGCTTGGCTGGTGTCTGGCGTACTGGTGTTGTTTGCAGCGAGCGACTAGCTGAGGAACACATGGAAGCTGTTAGGCTGGCCGATTCCCAATGCTGGACCAGAGCATTGAGTCGGGCTTCCTCTAGGGCTATTTCGGTTTCGCTATTTGAATCGTAGTCCGGTCCCTAGTGGGGGAATGGTTCATAAGAAATAATAAGGAGAGAAAGAGAGATAAAATGTTAATGCATTTCTTCTTTGATGCCCTGAAGTTTGTAGTTACCTCTTCAATCTTTTTATCCAACATTCGGAAAAAATTCTGCTGACTACTGGATATCTCCCTGAAATGGGAAATTTACAATTAAAAAAGTTGGACCTATCTGGGTGACAAAATTCAAGTCAATTGCAAACTCACTGGCTCTGTAACAGTGACAGGTTTCTGGCCCGCAGCAGTGACACCGAAACTTCTTCATCCGTTTCATTGGATTCTTTATTGCTATTCTCTTCAGAGTCTTCATTTCGATCGCGTTCTCGATTATCAGCATCTTCGATATGGCCTTCCTCTTCATCTGTTTCGGCTTCTGAATCACCTGAAAAGAAAAAGATGGATAATTATAAAGATTTGAAGAGAAAGATGTGACCCTTAATACTACATCTAGGTCTTCGATTGGTTAAATGGATGTTGGTAGGAATTTCTAGTGTTTATCAAAAGGATATAAAGACAAGAAAGATAAGCCTTAATTAGGCTTACAGTGTATAAGTCCTTGGTCGCTTCCAAAGATAATACAAAATGTTCTGTTCTTCTAAAGAATACTGTCATCAGCTATTCTGTTGAAAGAAAACCTTCATCAGACCCGCTTCAGCTCTTCTATAGATATAAGATATTCTTCAGTTCATCTATAGACAAAATATGTTCTTTAATTTTTCTATAAACAGAAGATCGTCATCGGACAAAAGTCCTATAGACGAAATATCGCCTTCAGATCTTTTATAGCAAAATACCTTTTCCAACCTCTTGTGGACATTGGAAGTCTGTTTCAATATTTCTCTAGGCAAATGACAAAATACATATTTTTTTATAGAAAAAAAGCCTTCTTCACCTCATCTCTAGACAGAAAACCTTCATCAGGTATTTCGGAGACAGAAGAGCTTGTTTAGCTCTTTTGAAGTCAGAAGATCTTTAGAGTTTCTATAGACAGAATACGTTATTCTAAATAAAGAGCCTTTTGCTGCTCTTTCGTAGACAAACGAGCACCTCATACTCTTGTATAAAACCAAAACGTCATCGAACCTGTTTAAGTGCTTCTATATACCGAAGACCTCATACAATTAGTTTTCAATACTCTGTTCCTCTATAGAAATAAAGCCTGCTTTAGCATTTCTGTAGTCAGAAGACCTTCTTTGGAAGACATCAACTCTTCTTTAGACAGAAGACTCTTTTTCAGACCTTAGACTTACATAGACTTACTACAAGAAGTTCCAAAAAAAACATAGCATGACATTCTTCCAATTGAGAAATCTTCAGCTCTTTTATATACAGAATACCATGGCCAACTTTTCTATTATCTGAAGACCTTCAAGAGGTCTTTTATAAGTAGAAGACTTTAGAAGACTTCCTCAGCCCCTATAAAACCACAAGGTCTTCTTAAGCTCTTCTATAGACATAAGACTTTTTTCAGGTGCCCTTTAATATTATTATTAAATCGTTTATAATCTTCCAAATGACCTGTCCAACTCAATGAATTTAAGAAAACAAGAACATATCCTTGCCCTTTTAAGCAAAATCCTGAATTATTTTTGGGCATCTTTACTGGTTGGCCAAAGGAGATAAGAAAAAAATATATTTCCTAACAAACATACAACAATCCTCGCACAAATGCATTTTAATTAAAAACTATTATCATTCAGATGCAGCAAAGTTCTTATTCTCCATCGGACACACACACTTGAACATTCAGAAATATTTTTCCGTACACACACACCCACCTCCACCTCCACATTTACATGACATTATTCTTAATGTGATATTAAAACAAAACAAACAATAAAAAAATATTTATGCAGGTCCTTTCTCTATTGTCGTCCTCAAAACACCTAGCTATAGACTCAGGCGATAGGCAAACGACGAGGTCATGTAAATCCTCTGTGCGGGAAGGAGGCAAAACGACAGAACATTAACTGCCATCAGGTATGGTCTATAAAATGAAAACATTCGATTTGCATGACCCGAATCTTTTGTTTGCACATCTCGTCGTCTCATCGTTAGCGCTCTCGATGACAAATCATGTGTGTCCTGTTTTCATTAATGGCGTTGTTATTCATCGTTTCAAGTGCTGTTTAACAGGACCAAATGGTGTGTGTGAGTGCCTGTGTATGTGCATATTTATTCTGATTCATTGATGTTAGTGAAAGAAAGATAATATATATATACACACACACACTCACGCATGGGTGTGTATGTGTACATTCAATCAAGTAACAAATTAGTAAAAAATCAATCAGTTATTGTAATGGCTTCTGTGTATGTGTGAGTGTGTGTTTGTGTGCTTTCAATTCAATCCTTTTAATGCATCCCAATGCTCAGGATGCTCAGCGTGGAAATTGTCTCCAAGAGTTGAATGTCAATTGTATTCGGAATATGTGTATGCCACTAGTATCTGCACCATTGGGACCCAGAGTCATTAGGGGAATGGCAAAAAGGCTCAATGTACTGGGGAAAGAGGCCATATGTGTATCTACTTAGGTTCAACAGTGATAGTTGCAATAACAAAAACATCCGAATTATTGGAAATTTCGTTTGTACATTTTTCCATTTTTGATAGTTTATATGCCCTTTTGGCCTAAATAAAATATTGACATTTGTTATTTGTTTTTTTTTTAATGTGTAATTTTAGACTACAACATGAATCTTTTTAGTCCACCTTGTTCGGCTTGGCTTTACAAGTTTTTTTCTATTTATATTATAAATAGATATTATCTTAATTTCGTCTTCTTCTTGTCTAAATGGGGTTCACTAATGGGGTTCACTGGATTACCTTCCGTTCTTCTATATAAAATCATTTCCGGTAGTGTATAGAGACTTCCTTGAAAAAAGACTCCCTCCAGTTCGTCTATGAAGACTCCCTCCAGCTCGTCTATGAAGACTCCCTCCAGCTCGTCTATAAAGATTCCCTCTAGCTCGTCTATAAAGACTCCCTCCAGTTCGTCTATAAAGACTCCCTTCAGGTCGTCTATAAAGACTCCCTTCAGGTCGTCTATAAAGACTCCCTTCAGGTCGTCTATAAAGACTCCCTTCAGGTCGTCTATAAAGACTCCCTTCAGGTCGTCTATAAGGACTCCCTTCAGCTTGTCTATAAAGACTCCCTTCAGCTCTTCTATAAAGACTCCTTTCAGCTCGTCTATAAAGACTCCCACACCTTTTTTCAGGTCGTATTTATGTACTCCCTTCAGCTCTTCTATGAAGTCTCTATTCGCTCCCCATCAGCTCTATACGACGCATTTTATTCTATAAAAGCTTCCTACACATATTCAATATTTAATTCCTTCAGATCACCTCTAAAGGATCCCTTCAGCTCCCTCTATGAACTCTCTCAAACTCGTCTATAAAGACCAGCTTCACTTCGTCTACATAAAGATTTCCTCCAGCTCGTCTATATACAATCACCACTGCTCCCCACTATAAAGACTGTGGGCGTTCTCTTCAGCCTTGGAATAGACAAAACATTCACACCAACATTCCTCTAAACAAAAAAACAAAACAATTCCCCTACGGCTGTTACTAAATAACAATTCTTAACTATATAATAAAAAAATTTAATAAAGACAAGAAAAATATTTACAAGCTTATGCAGCTTACAACAAATACCTAGAATGTGTGGAATGTGTATGTATGTGTGTGCGTGTGTAATGCGAAAATCGCATAATTCGACATGGAAACCATGCCAAACAAAAGTAATGCTAACATGTTGATTGTATTCAGTCTTGGCTAAAATGTCTAAAAGCCTGATGTTGATGGCGGCTGATGTTTCTGCTGCAGCTGTTTCTTCTTCTTCTGCTACTGCCTCGTTGGCTTAACAGAGCCATTAACAACAACAAAAAGCGTATACCAATTTTTTGTTTGTTTTTGTTTTAACGCATTTAATGTAAATTGTAAGGTGTAATAAGTGCCCGTTTGTTAGTTCTCTTTTGTGTCGTCTCTTCGGTTTTCACCCTTCTACTTTTCACACTCTCTTTGGCCACTGATTGTGGGTCTTTGTGCCTTGGCAGAGCAACTGAAAAACTTAAAAACAATGAACGACCGCTGTATGTACGAATCCGTCCTTCAAAGCATACTTTATGACTTAAATATCTATGTGTATGGGTGTGTATGTGTAAACAACGAACACTGAGCCATAAAAATCTAAATAAACGAACAGGTGGCTGGCGCGGTATGTGAGGGTGGTGTGTTTCGGTATAAATTCCAAATCCTTATGGAACAAATGTACCACTTATTTATGTTGTATTTATTTATGTCGAAATGTTGTATTCCACACAAAACAACATGCACACACATACATACAATAGAGCCCCGTTCACACACACAGACACTCTCGCTCACCGACATTTATGTCCTGTTCTGAGTAGAACACCATGTGAAACTGAAAAGCATATGCCAGAGAGGAGGAACGAAGTAAGGAGGCCACACACAATAAATGAATGGGTGGGAATGGAAATTAGAAATGGTGTGTGTGTGTGTGTGCGTTTGGCTGTGCGCTCGTCTAATTCAGTTCTATTATGTGTATATGATTTGCGACGACGGTGATGATGATGATGTGTTACAGGGAGTATTGTTTGCTTAATCAGTGATGCCAATATGGTTTTGGTTTAATAATCGTCAAATAAAAATTTTAAATGTAGGAAATTATATAAGGGTATTTTAGCAGATGCTACAAATTTTAACATTCAAATTTAGAATTTTTGCAGTTTTGTCATTAGAATTCGAAAAGTGCCTAAAAAGAACCACATTATACTTGGCGTTAAACCATGGATTCGGAGACAAAATGCTAAAATATAAAAGTTTGCCATAATGAAAACAATCTCATACCGTAACAACGATGTTGCTCAAAACATTTGCAACTAGAACTGAAATGCAATAAAATGAGGCGAAATTAATATGTAGATGATTTTATAAGTTTTTAAAACAATCATTTTAAATTATAATTGGAAAAAATTATATACATATTTCAATATGTTGTTGTTATTTTCCCAAGAATATATAAAAACGTGTTTTGGCCCGATCAAAATATTTGCAACTACTTAATACACGTTAATTTTTTTCCTTCTCTATAATAATATTTCGACAGTTTTATATCTATAAAAAGAAGATCGACAAAAAACAGGCCCTATTGAAAGTCTCAATCCAAGATATACAAAAGGTGTTGTAAAACATGGTGGAGACACCATTATGGTATTCATAAAATCCGGACAAGGAATTGTACCGATTCAAAAATCACTGGAATTATAAGGCCAGAAGAATACATAAATATTTTATCGGAAGTAATGCATCTTCATAAAGACAATGACCCCAAGCACGGGAAATTGTATATTGAAAAATTGAAAAAAAAATTTTAATGTGCATAAGTCATTAAACGACGTCATTGGTGACACATAGTATAAGTTGCAAATGTTTTGAGCACAGAAAACATGAATTTTTACGTTATTTGTCAAATTTACAAAAAAATCTTGTTGATATGAAATTAATATTTTATAAACCTTATCAAAGACTGATAGTACGTTTACATTTTACCGGATTTCGTTAAACCAGTGAGTATCAATTATCAATTCCTTTGAATATATGTCAAATAAATCCTTATAAAGAAGGTTAACCGAGTAAAAAGTTCTAATGTATATGTTGTTTGAATGAGGTAATTAAAACTTAGTTTCACATTTTTTTATTTCAATAAAATTATGGGTTTTGTCCAGCAGATGACTTGGTTGCAAATGTTTTGAGCAGCACTGTATGTTTAACATAACCTCTAGGGACGAATTTTCCACCCGAAGATGCTGTAATTTGGCACTACAGGCTCTTGGTGGATAAATAAACTAGTTCGTCTATAAAAACTACATTCCGCTCTTCTATAAAGATTTCTTGCAACTTTTTCTATTAAGGCTCCCTTCAGGCCATTTTTTGACATTATCCAGTTCGTTTATAAATACTACCTTCATCTCTCTGTTCTTCCTTTGTTGCAGCTCGTCTACAGAGATTTATAAAGACTACCTCTTTCTCGTCTACAGAGAATCTCTTCAGCTCTTTTATATATACTACTTTAAACTTTTAATTTCAGCACAACTTATACAATTTTGCGTGGGAGGTAACAGAAGGTCAAACTTAAATAAAGTTCGAAGGTGGGGTCCATTGGGTTCGAAGATGAGGTCCTTGTCATGTGTCATGCAACTTTTTATCAATCAGTCATCAGCGCCATATATTGATTCAAATCATGCAATAGTTTTTACCGGAGTTGTCAAGGTATCAGGAAAGTATAATACCTATTTCTTAAAACCTTAATTTTATCCAGTAACATCGAATTTTGAAATAATATACGATTGAACCTCTAATATGAAACCACTTTTATTTTAATATCTGCAAACGAAGCAGTTATAGCAAAAAGAAATGGGGTATGCAATTTTTATAAACCCGTCTTCAGCGCCATCTATTGATGGGCATGATCGAAATCATGCAAATCTTGTTTCATTATTTCAACAAAAAAGGTGTCATATGAAAAAGTAAATAATAGTAAATAAATAGAATTTATAAATTACAGTAAAACCCGCTTAATTATCTCAGTGAAAAGTTCAAGATTTTTGAGTAATTATTTGTGGAAGGTAATTGAGCGTGCACGGTTAATTACCTCGCTAGAGTAATTATCCGTGGGACCCAGTTAATTAAATATCGGTGGACATTGGTTGTTGTTGTTTCGTTCATTTTTGCTTGATATATTAAGTGGAGCTTTAGTTTGATAGACAAAGATGTATTTCTGGGAGACATTTCACGAAAACTTTCAAAATTTCACGAAACTTGTGGCAAGTGCACTAGCAAATGTAAGCCATTTTAAGTGAAGTTGCCAGATTTGAAAAAAATACATTGGGTAATTACATGGGACAGATTTAAAGGTACGGTTACGTTGGGGAAGTTATTTAGAGGCATATAAATGAAATGGGTAATTAAAATGGGGTAAATAAACGTGCAAATTTATAAGGGATTGTACTGAAAATAACTTAGCATTCTGAAATCGGATTAAATAATCGTGGAAGGTAATTAAGCGGGGAATACTGTATATGTTATTTTACAACAAAAGTTGAAATAGTACCTTTTAAGTGACACCAATTTCACTTAAATATGTACCGTAGGACAACAGTTTAAGGGATTTTAATTTTTCAAGATTTCCAATGGGCTGGTAAATCAATACCAATGCTTGTTGAGGTTTGTAACTTTGCACATATATATTTGAAGATTTAAAAGAGAAGAAAAATAATTTTCAAAAAATTTTTGTTACTGTTTTGTTGTTGTTTTTTTGTAATTAAAGAAAAGTCCTTATTTTTGATGGCAGGCATGATAACTCCTCACTGGAACATCGGAATCCGAAAATTTCAACGGTGTTAGATAGAGTACATGTCTGGCTCTCGTATGAACTAGGATTATTGATTTCGCTCTAAAATTAACAAAATGGTGGACCTTTGAAAAATATTTTTGGAAAATCGCCGATTTTTTACCAAAAACCAAGTTAAAAAATAAGGAAGATCTTCACCGATTGGCTTTATCCTAGTTCATACGAGAGCTATACACTCCCAGAGAAATGTTGAAAATTTTGGAACCGATTGGATTATTAGTTTTTGAGTTATCGTGCCAGCCATTCGCAAAAAAATCTTTAGAGAAAAACGCGTTTAAAGTTTGAGAAGCCCTTCAGCCGTCACTTGATGCTGACACAATAAATCGGATATATCTTCAAGAGTTCTTGAGATTTTCACTTGAAATTTTGTAGGGACATTCTTGAATTAGTGTAAATTCAAATTAAATCAAATAATTTTTTGATCTCGAGAATGGGGGGGTCCCCTTAAATTAAATTTTGCGTAATCGATTTTTGAATCTTCCCATTCAGTAGATGGCGTTGACAATAAGTGTTTGCCAGGGTTTCCATGTTAAAAGAAAATCACAGAAATAATTAAAACTGTGTTAGCGTGCCAATATGGTCACACTCATAAGACGATCCATAAACCATCTAAATACCTTTACCCGAGCAGTGCTAGTGTGAACATATGGTCACATACCAAAATTTGATCCTGTCGATAATCCAAAATTAACGTTGTATAAAGTTGGGAATTGGTCCAAATATACTAAGGGCTAAACCTTTTGTTTAATTTAGTCAAGTCTGCGTGTAAAAAAATCGCTAGATTGGTATCATTGCTAATTTACTGTAATGTAAAAATAATTTGTGGGAGAGCGAGAGAGAGTGCATTTGGGGTTGGAGTTGATAAAAACCAACTGTTTCAAATCATTTCATATGGAGTGTTAAATGTTTAATTGTTATTTTCAATTTGCTCTCGGTGTTCTGTTATTTTTGTTGTTTTCTCCTGATGTGTTGTTGCTAAACTATTTGTGGTTACTTTATTTTTGCATTAAACAATAGCATGTTGTCGTTATTGTTGTTGTTATTGTTCTCAATGTTATGCTGTTATGTTAGATTACATTGCGTATACGTTTCATGGTACAGACTATGTTGCCCGGATGGGGGGAAGGCGGGTGAACATTTTTGAAATGGATTGGTTAGGCAGGATGGCTGAATGACTGACTGGATATTTCTCTAAATGACTACTTCTTCTAATACTAACACTTACCATGTCCTCCTTTTTTGCCATTCGCTTTACTTTTCGATTTACGAGGATAAAGATGAATTTTACTTTGTCCACAGCCCATAATTTGTTAGAATTGTATGTGTGTGAGTGTTATATTGTTTGTTTATTTGTTTTTGGTTAGGGTTTTTTGTTTTGTTGTTGCCTTTTCGGTTAATTCCTTTGCTTAAAATCCACTGGAGCTGTGGGGGAGCTGCTGGTGCTGTTGTCGTCGTCTCCGTTTTTATGCTCGTTTATATTGTCGACATTGTTGCCGTCACCGCCGTCACAATCTACGAAACTGGATGGCCGAACTAAAAATTCAAAAGAAATTTTTGCTTTGTACTTCACCACGAATACAGCAACAACAACAACAACAGCGCCAAGTTTTCTTGCTAAGGCCATTGATTTTCACAAACGAGGAGTACGACAATCTTCTGCGTCTACTATAAAGTTGTAAAATAGGAAGCGTTTGCATTTGGAGGAATATACATATAAATATATGTTCACACATACATATGTAGAAGATGATGAATGTGATTTATATATTTTGTAATTATATATATATTAATTTGTATTAATTTATTTTTTCTTCTTTTTAACTGAGAGTGTGTACATATATATTTATTTTTTTATTTTTTTTGTAATTAGTTATATATAGAGGAGGAAAGACAAGACGGTATGGTTATGGAACGGATTTCTTCTTTTTTGTTGTTGTTGGAATATTTGTATTTAGGTTTTTTGTTGGATTTTTAGTTTAGCTTAACACTGCAGGTGATATGCACCGTTGTAATTAATTATTTTTTATTTAATTATTATTTTATTTTTTGGTTTTTACAGGAGACGTATATAACCATTTGTGGTAAATGGCCTCGAGGGCATTTACATTCTGGGTTCACTCAATTTTTTTTTGCTTTACTTCTTTTGTATCCCTTTTTTGGGTATTTTTTGTAGCATGGAATTTATCCCTCTTTGTGGATTTTCTTTTATTTTTTTATTTAAACATTATTGCAATTGGTTTCAAACTTTACAGTCTTTTTGTGTGTCACTTGGTTAAGACATTTTTTTTTATTTCACTTTACCACCAAAGAATTTTTATTTAAAAATTTAGTTTTCTATTTTTCCAAAAATTCCTTTTTTCCAGTCGTTTATTCGTTTTGGTTCTATGAAAGTGAAGTTATGCTTTGGTGGTATATGATGATGATTATGATTAAGGAATCTCTGGATGAATAAAAAAAGAGGAATGAAAAAATAGCATGATGAAGAAGAAGCATTTTGTGTAGCTGCGCACATCCATTCAGGACACACAGGGAGAACACACACATACACTCACATGTATGCAGTGTACAAACCACGAGAGCTCACAACAGTACCTTGGCGTAGTAGAAAAAGTAGTAGCCAGAATAAATACACCACCTTCACCACAGTCAGGGAACAATAACGATAAACAGGAGAATAAACAGACAGGGGAGTAGTGTTGCCATAACATGGTTTTCATTTACGGCTATATTAACAGCTTTATTTTGTTGTTGAACTCATTGAAGAGCTCGTAATATTTTGTTTTATTTCGATAGATGTAGAGGATGATAGATACCAAGGAACGGCATGGCAAAGCCCATGTCTATCTTGGTCCCCCTTTAATATCAATTGTGGACACTGGCCTCCCCGCGTTGTCACCTGGGTAGCTACTTTCAACCCAAAGGGCAGGCGTAAGTAAATCAGACGATTACGAAATTTATTATAGATGCCATGAAACGAACCATGAATTTTCCTGCTGATTTAGGGTTAACAGGAGAATAAAAGACCTCGTCTCCAGATTCGTATAAAAGCGAAGTTCTTCTATATCAGTCTCATTTGCGCCCATGCTTCGACGGAAGACAAAGATGAACAGACCAAAGACATGTTTTACGAGCGCCTAGAAACAGCATATGACCGCTGCCCTGGCAATGACATTACAATTCTGCCAGGAGATTTTAATGCAAAAATCGGAAGGGAAAATATTTTTGGTTCCACTGCCGGAAAATTCAGCCTCCATGAAGAAATATCCGACAACGGCATTAAGTTGACTGCGGGGCAGCGAAAAAACATGGTAGTTAGCAGCACAAGATTCAAGCACCTCGATATACGCAAGTCCTCCGGGCTTTCTCCCCTTCTGGTTTCTTTCTTTTCTCTCTCTCTCTCTGGTTAGCAGCATCTGATTCAAGCACCTCGATATACAACGAGTAATCAAATTGATCATGTTGCGACAGATGGCGGCCCTCATCCAGTGTTTTGGACGTTCGATCGATCCGAGGAGCGAATATCGATTCGCACCACTAAAGCTGCAAACACAACAGGTAACAGAAGCCTACTCCGCTCAACTTATCCAGATGCTTGAAGAAATCAGTCCTCGTCTCGATAATAACATAAAAGCACAATGTCAAGAATTGCCAATTCCCTACAAACTGAGGCAGTAGCAACACTTGGGTACCAAAGACCACCATGAAGAAATTCATGGTGTCGTAATGCTACTGATGTAAAAAAGTAGCGTATAGGACAACCCTGCACGTAGTAGCAACACGAGAGAGAATTATGGAGAAAAAGGGAGAGAGGAGAAACGCATTTTCAGGAAAAAAAGAACAAGAAAATTTTGAGCGGGACAAAAACAGATAGCATTTTGCAAAGCTTCTGGTATCAATTAGTTGCGGTGAAAAAAATACTCCAGAACCAATATAAGATGACGGAATAGAGTGTATACCACCTAGCCAAGATCAGATCAGAATAGCAATCGGCTGAAGTATAGAATAGCAGCAAGTGCCGATGGATTACCAGCCGAACTATTCAAGATCGGTGGTCAGATGCTGGTAAGGAGCATGCACCAGCTGGCTAGAGGAATGCATGCCGTATGATTGGAACCTCAGCATGCTGAGTCCGGTGTTCAAAAGAGGAGACAACGTGCCAACTATAGAGGAATTATTATCCTTCCCATCGCATAGAAAATACATCCAGCGTACTATGTGAACATACAAATGCGGCATAAGACCTTGCCATAGACCAGGTTTCCACTCTGCGCCAAATCCTGGAAAAGAAAACACATCGACGCAAACCAAATATTCCTCGAATATAAAGCCGTATTCGACATCCATATCCTTTCAGAGAATACAAAGCTGATGGTATGAATGCGCAAGACGTCCAATAGACTCGGACCAACTGTGGTACTTGAAAACTACAGCTTCGAGGTAGTGAACGATTTTATATATCGCGGTACCGCCATAAACAAAAATAATAACATCAGCTTCGAAATCCGGAGATGAATAGTGTTGGCCAACAAATGCTACTAGGGTTTGAGTAAAATCAATTCAAAAACTACCCGTGCTGGTGTATGGATTTGAAGCATGTTTACTTGCGCATGCAGATGACGCAGCTCTTGTAGTGTTTGAGAGATAAATTCTCCGAAATATCTATGAACCGATCTTTGTCGACGGTGAATAACGCCGTTGAATGAACCATGACCTGTACTATATATTCTCGGACATCGACATAGTCAGACATATCGAGCTGCAGCGACTACGATTGCTATGTTGTGAGGATGGATGATAATGCCCCAGATCAAAAGGCATATAAGAGCGAACCATCTGATGGTTTACGCAGAAAGGGAAAGCCACGAATTGGATGGACAGATCAAGTGGAAGACATCATTTCGAAAAATGGTCTTTCAAATTGGAAGAATTTATATATCAATTTTCATACCTATTTTTCTAGACAGAGATTACGAATAAGCTATAATCTCACAATTTTCATACTATTGCATACTTTTGTCCTTCCCTTCAGGCAAGATCAGAGATGTAGCAACTGAATAATGCAAAACTGTACATGACATAATCTCACAATATATAAAGGAAGACTCTAAATCAGGAAGATTTTCTAGGCAGTTCGGACATTACTTCCATGTCCTTCCCTTCAGGCAAGTTATCATGACAAACCTGGATACTGTTGTAGCAACTGTATTTAGAATAATGCAAAACTGTACATGACATTTCCGACACCATCAGAGGATATGCGGTATTTATATCATTTGAAATATTAGCGAAAATAGGAGACGGCTCTCCAACACATGCCGACCATTGCCACAAATATTCGTTATTTATACATACATTGGCAACTCTATTCAAACAGGATAATCAACAACGGTTTTGATTTGACAGGCAGGCAAAAGTTTTGAAAATCTCTAATTCATACAAACGAAAACGAGCACACTCTCTATCCTTTCTTTCTCTCTCTCTCTCTCTATCCCTGTCAAACTACTCAAGCAAGCAAACATAGCAACGAGTAACGAATAACCGATTTTAACACACATAACAGAGACTGTTACAGAGCTAACAGTGACTCACTCTCCCGGTCTCTCTCTCACACGGTGTGTATTCAATAAAAATCGCATTTCTATAATCCGCACAACAAAATCCAGCAGGTGGAGGGAGGTTGGGGTATGGCTTTCAGTTTAGTTGCTTGGTTGGATGGATGAAGTGTTACGTTGCCATATACCTGTGTTGCCGATACTTGGCTGTCTCTCTGTCTGTCTGTTAGTAGGCCAAGCCAAACCACCGAGGGGCACTTAACCGACTTCGTTGTCTAAATGGGGGAAAGAACGAAAAGACGAAAGATCTTTTTTCCCTGATTTGTGGTTTCTTTGTGTGTGATGTTCGTGTTGAGGGTTGGGGCCTAACATTTTTAAGCCGTTTCCTTTAATTTTTTTTTAAATCTTTTTGGTGTCAGCACTGTCAAGATAAAGTGTACTCTTTTTCTTGGGCTCTCTAATCCCATCGATGTATGTTCCAACACACATACATACATATTTACACATGTTCGATTGTAATGTTCCATGAGGTCACAGGTCACTGTCTGTCAACCTCTACTTTGCCATTTTCATTGGCACACGAACGAATCTGTCGTATGGCACAACCACTGCTCACTGGATTTTAGTCGATGGCACAACGACGACAACAACAACAACTGCTTAATAAATCAAAAAACTGAGAAAGCGAGGAAGAGCAGCACCACCAAGTGGCAGATGAAGCAGAAATAGAAGAAGAAGACGACAACGACAATGAAAAAAAGAACGACGACCACTATGTTTGTGTGCAAATAAGTGTGTCTGAGTTA